GTCGGCCAATATCGGAATTATTCTTGCGAAAAACGGGTGCGCTTAATATCAGAGGCGCGTAACTCGTGATTCATTTCCGGTCATTCTTTGAACAAAATATGATCGGAATTCTGGTCTTTCATATGATTCCCTTTTATTCATCGGAAAATACGATAGATATCCGGAACTTCCGTGCTTGTCCGGAGTAATTCAAGAAATTGTCGACAGTATAGTTGAATCATTAATGAAATGAATAATTCATGGCGGTTCGTAGAAAGCTGAGTTTTCTTTAAATTCTCAGAACATGTAATGGGATGAATTCTTCAAAATTGTAACAAAAACATGTTTCTGGTTTTTTTTTTTAAGTAAAGGCAGTGAACATTAATTGGAGTTGCTCTTTTTTATTCTCTTACAATTTTAAGGTAGGTTTTCAAAGTCACCGACAATTTGAGCACAGTACCATCCGAATCTCGTGCGTTTACATTTTAATTTTGAAAATAATATTTTTCCGATAACTAATATTCCGAAAATTGAGTGGCACTCTGGGTGAGAAAAAATTCGATCTTTTGATCGGGATGTTGAATAATGTGCATAAATAAATTCAATTGAAGATCGATTGACGAACTATTTACAAGAATTACTTGTGATACACGCAAATTACAAGAGTACTGTACTTGTACTTATTTCAAAACAAAACCTTTCATGAAACGTGAATACATATTTTGAATTCTTTCTTATCGTTGAAAATTGAACGTTAGACTGTAGATTTAAAAACTACAGTATGTAGATGATCTTGATTTTATTATTTTAAAAGCCTATTTTTGAATAAAAGCTGAGAAAATTGTGTTGAGACTTGTTTTAAATGATATTTCGGACATAATGCTGAAAAATATTTTTTATCAATTTGCTTAAGAGCACTAGGAGAAAATATTATTGCTTTTCAAAGAATGCTGGTGAGGTGCCAATGAATATATTTTGAAATCTTGCGCACCGTGTTTAAATTTGAACGCTATATTTTATGTCACTTATTTGTTTCCTTTCAATGCCGTATATATTGCTGTTTTTTTTATTTAAAAAGTTAATTTTCGTGTGATATGCGATTCAAGAACTTATTCATTTTGAAACTGCTTACATTTTTGCATTGGTTCTCATTTCTTTTGATTCTGTGTATTGTTAAGCATCTGTGCATTTTTTTGAGACACAATATTTGGTTGGAGGGATTTTTTTCTTTGCTTATTTATTTACTGGAGCGAAAAATTCAGTAGTAAAGTACTCGCGTGCATCATAACGGTGTCCAAACTCTATTATTCTTTTTAAAATGTGATTCAGGCCCTCCCAAATTGAGAAAAAGTTACTTATTGGTGTGAATTTGCTTCAGAATTTTAGGGGACGGGGATTCCAGCAGGGTGAATATTCATTAATCATATTCACTAAACAAAACACGAATTTCTTCAAACCGATGAAGCGAATCTTCGATAATCACTGTAATCGAGTAATCCAGCACGTACTCAAATAAGGAAACACTTTTGCAGGTACGGTGAAATATTCGTCTCTCAATAAATACATACAATATACAATGATGAATATATATGCGGAAAACGGAAAGCAGTCATCAGAGCCCTGACAACATACGACTGGGGGAACACTCAGCAGCAGGTATTTATAGCCTTATAGGCTCTGGTTCCGGCGGCGACCAAACCAGCAGGCATTTGTATCACCCAATAAGCCGCAATAACTGCACGAGAATGCCGCCGCTTATTTCTTTCGTTTTTCTTTATTCTTCTTCTTATTATTTTACTATTTTTTTTTGCTTGTCCTCATCAACTTCCGGCGCCCAACGGCGGCGAAGGCGGGTTGGTTCCTCGTCCGGGCTCGGTCTGCTCTGTGATTCACCTTGGTGATTGATGCGCTCTGTGTTTTGACACATTGCACTACGCCGAGTTTCAATTTTTGACGCGGAGAAAGAACACAAACGTAATCTTGATCCCCACGAAACCATGTTTATTTGAGAAAGAATTATTATAGGTCACCTTTCAATAGCCGTAACACGGACATCAGTCTTTACTCTTTTCACACCACACAGTATTTAATAAAAGTCATTTTCGAAAATTCAAGCCCCAAGATGTGCGTCTCTCTGAATCAAAATTGAAATTTTCTGATCAGAGTTTGTCGTATTTATTTCAGAACCACGTGATGTCCTCACATTCCCTGTATAAGACATGCGCACCTGTACATTTTTTTCTTGGCTGAAAAATTGAACTGATTTCACATAAAAACCTGAAAAAATTTCATTTGTAATAAACAAATATGAATCATTCGAAATGGAATAAACAAACATGAATCATTTATAATTAAATAAGCTAACAGTAATAATTTGTAATGGAATGAACTACTGTACCATATATCATAGTAAAAATAAACTCAAGTGACAATTCTTTTCCAACTATATGATGTCCAAATGAATCTTGTGTGACTTGCACTTGCACAGTAAAATTGTATTACACCGAAGCCGTTGGGACCAGTAAGATAGCTTCATGTTGTAACAAACATTTGCCTTGAAGAAACTCATTTAACAATGTGGCTATATCATGGACATAGGATTTTTTTTAATAAGTAATTATTCACTATTATATAACAAAATTCGTTGAAACGAGTTTCCACTACATATCACAATTTTTTATATGAGCCATGCATACCATCATTATATATCACACTCACTCCACTTTTCTGCCATGTTTTTCAGAAAATAATATGGAGTCGGTATTTACCTAAATATTGTCTTGAGAATCAGATGTACAAACAAAAGCAGTAATGCTCGAAAAATCCACCTGGTCAAAATTTGGATATTAGGTCAAATTACTCAAAGTGCGTAATTTATGTTTGCGCAGTAAAATTGGACATCTCAAGCACTTCTTTGAAAATTTAGTCCGTACTGGGTGACACTTGATGCTTCAAGGAAAATCAAAATTGGCTAAACAGAATGGATGAACACAAAAAATATATCTATATAATCTGATGAAAGCATGCCCATTGAGGCAGATGAGAGATGATCACCACATGATAGATACTGTCAAACTTCTTTGCGATGCATTTCTGAGGAAAAGCTGAAAAATTCCAGTTGCCCAGTGAGCACAAAGTTTTCCAAATGTTATCCAAAATATTTCCATGGAATTCTTGCAAAGGAACTCCACAGACATCTTTGGAGAACTTGCCTGTAAACCTTTTACGCTGGTGGTCAATTTGTCTGCCAGATTTTTCTGGTGCCAGGTTTTCTGATAGACAAGTTTTCCCAACTTCTCCACCAGAGCTGCAGGTATGGAAGTACATATATGAGGGGGAGCATACATGAAGTGGGTTCTATCTGTTTGGTTAAGAGGTTGGGCTGTGGAGCAGAGGTCATAGGTTCAGTCAAAGGTTTGGTAAATAATTTTTTAATTATAGATTTGCACCTGGAGCATATACTCAGGTACAATTAGGATAGCTCATCAAGTAGGAGTAGTTTATGAATAGTGATGAGGTATAAATAAAGTCAAATAAATGGATAATATGATCCTCAATATAATCTATATATGTTAACGTATTAATTTGACTGAGAATTCATGCTGAAAGTAAATCCTGAAGGAAAGAATGGTCAAATCCCTGGGGAGCAGACAAGAAACTTTTATTAAAATTCTGTCAGATTTTAAACTAAAATTAACTAAAATACTTTCTCCGATGCCATGACATTGCTGCTGATGCAACAATAAAAAGCAGCCTTATTGTGCACACAACACAAGTTCAGCACAACCCTTCTCCAAAAAGCAAAAAAATCTCAAAAACCAGAAATCAGTAGTTCGTTTCTCCATTTGTAGCTCATTCCCATTCTAGCTTCTCATTCCACTGCAAAATCTTGTGCAATTCACCCAGAACCGATTCTCTGAATGTATCTGGGGTTTGTGTGCCTTATTTTATGTGAGTGTATTTCTCTGAAGATGCTGAGTTGTTTTGAAACAATAATAAATATAACTTCCTCTATGAAGAGGCTCTCAGCCAGTCTCAGGCTTTTTTTTCTGGTGTTTTACTCATAATCTCTCTTTATTTGGGGAAATCCCGAACAGATACAAAGGAAAATTGGCAATGTCTGAAAGATTTGCTTGCAGCAATGCACGCACAGCAGGGATTTCCTAGCAGTTGTGCCAAAAATGGTCTACTGGCATACAGTGTCCCAGTTCAGAGAGGCAAAAAAAAATTTCACTTTTGTTTATCAAGCAAACTGTCAAACTGTCATCAGGAAGAAGTCTGATTTTTCATGATCAGTCCCTGGGGTTCTCATATAGATGAAAAATTGGGCTGTTTAGTGTGGTTTGTTGCTCTTGTGTAAAACTTGCCGTCCGACGAAAAATAACGGAAACGCTAGATTTTCAAAGGTGTGCCACAAATTAGCCGATACACAAAAACAGGAAATCAGTGGGAAAGGAAGCGCAAATGAACGATAGTTTCAAGAAATGTCACGTAATTAATATTAAAGCAGAAAACATGTTTTCATTTCTCTTTTCCGAAGCTCATTTATCCCTGACCTGCACATATAATAAATACATTACAGTATACAGAGCGAAAAACTAAGCGCTTTTTCAATACTCAGAGCAAAAGATGAAAGAACTATGAATACCTTTGGCGAATGTACAGTATTTATTTATTGGTGGACTTGTTGTGTTTTATGTATTACTGTAATACTGTGACGTACTGTAAAATTTTCTAACTTCATCAGCAGTGATATTCGTCACTCTCAACGCCGACGAATTCTCAGTTTAACCGCGAATATAACACTGATGCTCAAACAAGACTAAAATGAGAAGAAAAAATCCATTTTTACTAAATAAGACACATTTTCGTCTCATCAGGACGACAAAAGGTTTTCTTTGTCCGCCGAACAGGGCAACTCAAGAGCAGGTAAAGAAAAATAAGGTACGGAGTATAACGTAGAGGAAGTGCGAGTTTATAGGTGAAACTTACAAATACTGTATTATAAGAAAACACCAAATTTATGCAGATGTCGGCTCATGCGCAACTCCCAGTGGCGTAATTTGCGTATGAATGTCGTCGAGACGGTCATCACCACGACAGAGGATTCGGGATGCGATACGGAGAAAAAACCCGGCAGACGGCTTGGTGCCCAAGCAACCCCTATGGCGGCCGATCCCAGTTTCGGTTGAAGCATTTTCGTCTATATACAATATACAATACATTGGATATCCATCAGTTTTACAGGGTGAGAGAAAATAAATTTGTGAAGCTTGTGAAACAAGCACTTATGACAGCACATTTTCAGCAGGAGATGTATTTTCTTGTGAAACTTGATTCGTTAGTTTTATTTCTTCGGTTCTTATATTTTAAAGCCTATCCAGGGTAACCATCATAATTGACGGTAATCTCTTGCAGAAGCTGTTCATTAACATGTATAGTACCAATACACTTTAACAGGATTACTCTCTCTCTCTCTCTCTCTCTCTCTCTCTCTCTCTCTCTCTACAAAAAAGTCAGGGGGCAATGGAAGAATTTGTTGTAGAGATGATTTTTTAGAGAACCCCTAGAGAACATGGGGAGAGAACCCTATATTAATTGAAAAAAGAAAAATGTTGTTATGCACAGAAAACTTTTATAGACAAAATCATTTTGCACAAGGCAAGATTCCAGCACTTGTATTTGAATACTGTACAGTTGAACCTCAAATACCTCAAACCAACCAGAGTCAATTTTTTTGAGTCTCTGTCTAACTTTTCTTCGGAATAAAACCATGTAGTAATAGGGTCTGTATATATAGTACCGTATTTACTTGAGTACCATGTGCACCTTTTTCTCAAATTTCAGAAGAAAAAAAGAGGTGCACGTCATAGGCAGGTACAATTTTTTCAAGAAGTTTTAGGAAGTTATGCTGTGTGCATTATACTTGATTATAATGGAGAAATTTGGAACAAATGTAACAAGAAAACTTTTTTGTGCTGAAAAAGTTGAAAATGTATCAGATTTTTGTTCAATTCATGCCTAAAGTCAATTTTTTTGTTCTTACTTTTGAAATGTTGTGGTTTTAGATTCACTAAAAAGTGGGGTGTGCATCTTACTATAGGGGATAAGATTTCAGCAAAATTTTCAACTGAAAAACCCCTGTGCATGCCTTACTCAAGGGCGTGTGGTGCTTGAGTAAATACGCTATACAGTATATGAATCAAATTTTTGAAGGCCTTTTTGCTATTATCTTTGTGATCTAGTAAATATAACAAACTGAAAAGAAGTGGAAGATTAATTTGGCAAATGAATCCTTGCTTCCAAATTCAGCATACTGTCAATACTTCTTCCCTAAGTGGTTTTTTGCCAAAAATATCACCAATTTTGATTTCCTTTAAGTCCTTTTTTGAAGGCAAACATTTGTACCGCATTTTCCTTAACTCGAAAGGTTCTAAATAATTTGTCCTTTGCCTTGGAAGTTGACTTAAAGAGGTTGAACAGTAATATGATTACTCAGGTGTCATATACCCTTGCATATGGCATTCACCTTAATTTCCATGCCATAAAATTACTTTAAAATTAAACTGCTACATGATATGCATTCCCCGGTTTTCAGTAAAACGAATACCATTTAATAATTACAATGACAGCTGCAATTACCTTTGTTTTTTAAAGAAATACTTTACAGTGGAATGAAAATGCAATCACGTTCAATTTTTTTTTTTTTTTAACTGAATAATGTGATCCAAGGATGGAGGGTACAAGGATTCTGAAAATGTTGCAGGAAATGTTTGCACTTGATTTCTGACACGCACCCTCTTTTTGGCACAGAGGTTTTTGACGAGAGGTGTGCAGAAAGTACTTGCGTGAAAATACAGAATTACAGCACAGTACAGTACTGTACTGCACTTTCCTCCACAAACTGTCATCAAGCATGTATGGGGAACGGTTTCAAATGTACGTGTTTTTGGACATGAAGGCTCAACAGTCTATGCATAAAGTTTAACAAAAACAATTCAATGACAAGAACAAACAAAAGCAATTTCAAATAAAATATGGAAATGGAGGAAAGAGTCACAAAAAAAAGCAAGTGAGCAGACCTTGCTATATACAGTATAACTGGATTTTTTACTTGTGAATAACAGGCTTATGAGCAGAAAAATGTATTTTGCAGATTATTTAATGAATACAGTGCAAATGAAATTTCCTGGCTAAATAGGCAATTACAGTACATTACAAATTTCATTGGTACCAGTGGTACCTTGCAATTTGACCCTAACCCATTGCCCAACTTGGGTTGAATTGCAAAATGGTTGAATTGCGAGACACAATATAAAATCAGGGGTAAATAGTACAAAAAAGGCTAAAACAGGTCAAATTTTGGGGAAGAGGTTGAATTTTGAGTTGATCTCCAAGCAATTTTGACTGTCAAATTGTGGGAGGTCAAATTGCAAGGTACCACCTGTATATATACAGTAATATATATTGTATTACTTTTATCAGAGTTATTTCCAAATTTTCTCAGAAAACAGTAGCTTCAGCAGAGTAAGCAAATCTTATTCCTCATCAATTTTGTCAGCAGCATGGGTATTGTTAGGAACTGAAAATTTGAAGTTGAATGATGAACCTTTTAAAACCTTCAACTGAAACTTTCAGAAATAAAGAAAACAACAATCAGCTGGGCTGCACCCAGGGTGCTTTACACCCTAGTGTCAGGTTTGTATATTCAAAATTAGAAGCGCAGAATTTTGATTATTGCAATCCAACAAGTCAACAAAATGCAATAGCCTTTTGCATAAGACTGACCCAGAGCAACTGATGATCATACGTATGAACTATTTGGTATTTAAACTCCTTTTCCTTGCAAATTTGTGTCCCTTAGAGATTTTCATCCCCTTCTTTGGGATTTCCCTAAGAATCCAAACTCCCTTGGGAACTCATGGTCAAACTCAGTCCCACAGAATTCCGGATGGATTTAGACATTCTTGTCATTGGTGCCCTTCTAATCTGTCTAAAATTTTATTAGCTTTCTAATTTCCAACAGGTATCACTTATTATGCAAATATAAATATTGTATCGAAAGTACATGCACAAACATTTGAATGAAATAGGATTTCAATATTGAAAAAAAATATTTCGCATTCCAATGTTCGTCTATACTTATAAATGGCGGACTGTTGCATGATAGTACATCAACACGAATCGCCCTCATATATAAAATAAAGACCTCGATAACATGGTCCAACCTTCCAGCACTTTTCGAGCAACATACAGTAATTCCAACACCTTTTATTCTATGTTTCAGGGATGGATCAGAGCACAAGGTTTTCAGCAGTTTCCGCCACGACTTCCGAGCTTCGTCGTCGTGTCACCGAGGCCGAATTTGAAGCACATGCTTCATCTTCGTCTCTTGTCACTCCTCGTATTATATATTGATGCATGGGAATAATAATGACGAGGAAAAATATAAGAGGTGAACTTTGGGTATGTTCGAAGTCAGCGTGTCAAGGTTTTGAATATTGGAGGGTTTAGAGACGAATGCCTGCCTGTCTGTCTGTCTGTCTGTCACACATTTTCCCCCTTGGAAAAAAAAACAACAGCATGACTGGGCTGATTTTCAACACACAGTTCAATGTTTAGACAATTATTCCAGTTGTGGAATGCTAGAAATCAGCAAAATGTGATGCTCGGAATGAGATTTTATGGATCTTATTCTCCTATACTTTCAGACATGTTTTTACGTCCCCTGCTTAATTACTTTTTTCATTCTTTCTAACGCATATGAAAGATGAAACGCCTTCTTTTAGCATACATATACAATACCGCAAAATTACACTATTTCAAGTTTAAATTCATCAATGATGTCAGAATTTTGTCTTTCTGATGACCAAAAGTAAATATACGATGTAGTCAAGAATTACAAAAGGAGGCAGAAAAAAGGTGATACATCCAAAAATAAAACACATCACTCAGCTGTGGGGCTCAGTTGGGGATTTCTTTAAGGAAATCCCAAAAGATAAAATATAAACTGTATTTCTTTACCGCAAATTAATTCACAGATCACAAAATCAATCACACAACACAACGTATAAAAAGATAACCTTCACAATCTCACACACACAAGAGTTTAGTCACACACATCTTGTTCAGTCTGTTCTTCTGCACACCTAATTTGTTAAAACCCTTGAAGGGTGCAGATTAAAATCTCTAGTATTCAATTAATATGGCTGCCATCTAACAGTAGCCAGTGTGCAGGTACAGTAGCATATTAAGGTACCAAATAATTCCATCACATATGAAGTATGTCTGGACCGCTTTATTTCAACACACAGTCAACTGTTGAGACATTATTGGCAGCCGTACATATAGAATTTAATTAAATGAATCAGCAAGAAATTGATTATCAGAAAGGTTTCTTTGATATTTTCTTGACATATTTATTTGCACCTTGATGATTGTTTTTTTTTCTTTCTAGTGTGGCAGACTAAAAACTCCAATAAACCACATACTGTATATCACAATATACATCATAAACCATTTCTCTGCATACATTTTTTTGATGCTGGCTAAATTTCGTCCTTCTGCTCATGAAGATCGAGAAAGTTGTTTCAGATACGCAGCTCCAATGCAACAGCTGAAATTTCGAATTATTGATGGGACTGATGTATGCGGGATACACTGCTGCATATTTTCTTTTCGGTTGTACACAGGTGAACTCTGTAGCGATTTTCTCTGTACTGTATAACGAATTTTTTTGTGGGCCTCTTGCCATGTTGTAAATGTTATCTGCAAAGAAATTCTCTCTTCAAGAAATTTGTTCTGGTCCCTTGAGTTTTGTAGTCGAAAGAGTGCTCTTGTACTTGAAGTATTATTAAAATGAGGTTTTGAGGACAGAAAGTGCTGAAGAGAACCTCTTTTGGATTTCATTAATAGCAAAAATATAGAATATATCACGTGCCTTATTCTGAATTATTGGCAACTTGTGCTGCGATCGTATACATAGATTATCCGAATTTTAAATCATATACAGTATTGAGTAATTAAAGTTCGAAGATTGCGCTCAACAAATGTATGCTGCCCATCACATGGTCAAAATAAGTTTATTTGCTCTGTTCAACGTTGACCACGAAGACCTATAGGTGGCATTTAAATTTTCATTAAATGTTTCAAATTGCAAGATTACTTCAATTGTACGAAAACAATGACAGCCACAATTTTTTACTATACAAGCTTGCTGAAATATGCGGGGTTTCGAGGCTTGTTTGCGTTCTGAGACTGTTTATTGGAACATTCTGTATCATAATTGTATAACTTTCCAATGGAAATTTGGGTTTGCACATCAAAAAGTTTCAATGCAAAAAAATATGTGGAGGCCCAAAATACCGCTGTACATTCAAGGCTTGCAACATTCATGACTTATTCATAATGGAGCAGAAAACACATCATCATGGAGATCTTCGATTTTCGGAATTCAGCAGCAGCCGCAGCCGTTGATGAATTTCAATCGACCATCAGAATTTTCCTCTTCTCTCAGTTTTTGTTTTCTCTTTTCGTTTTCGATTTCTTGTCCGTCATATCCAGCAGCAGGTGCATTATTATTATTTCGCAACAGCACGTGAACTTGAGGAATATTCTGGGGTTTGTTTCGGAACCTCATCGCCAGGAAAACAGAGGCAAGCGTTGATTCGCGACTTGTCCTGCTGGGGCAACGCGGGCGGCGGAAGTGCCAGCGAGAGGATCGAGTTGTCGGAAAGATTGGCGATAAGGGCTTATACATATACTGTATATATATATATATATATATATATACTCCTCAGCATCCCCTGATAATATGTGAGCTGGTTGTCCCCCGCGGGGGTCCGCGTTCCTGCAGGGGAGAAGCGAGCCCGCGCGGGTCAGCAGGGTTCCTTCCGGCCCCCGCCTGCACTATCATACACGGGTCTCTGATGCCGTTTCGGCGTGTGTGTCACCTATGTCCTGTAAATATAGGCTAGTCGCTCACCTTCACCCATGTGCTGAGTCCTCTCCACTAAATACTGTAAATCAATATACGCTGGTCCGCAGAAGTTTTTTTTTTTTTTTGCTGGTCCAAGCGGGAGATTTTCAGCATGACAAATGCATCAGAGGTTGTATAAATGAAGTCAGTTATTGTTATCTGATAGTTTGGAGAGACAATGGCGGTTGAAATTATCTGATTAAAATAAACTTCGTCTTCTCCCTGGATAACACTCGATTAAGAATAATTTTCACATGCTGAAGTAAATTATTTCCACTTTTCCTTCTCTGGGAACCCTTTTCTTAAAGCCCAGCTTTCTAATTTGTTAAAGACACTTCACTATAGCTGCTTCAATGGTTCTTAACTTGATTCTTGAAATAAAAGTTTTGTTTGGAGGACATTATGAGAGGCTTATACTTTTTCTGCCAGTCTGCAAAAATGTTATGGAATGCTACCAGTCTGCAGAAAATTTTATGGGAATATGCTGGTCCACAGAAAATTTTATGAAAATTTGCTGATCCGTGGATCCAAAGAGATTGGCAAACTCTACTGTATATTGCAGTCATCACTGCTGATATGAAACACACTTGATCCAATAAATAAGTTGAACCCCAACTTGATCTCCTCAAAGTCGAACATACCTCCCTGTGTCAATTTTTTTTTATATAGTCCCTGTCTGAATTGCCATATAGAAACAATGAATTAAAGACCTTTGTAACTCAAATGCCCCCACCTCAAACCTCCATAACTGAAATTTTCTGGTGGCCTTTTGGCTATTATTTTATTAACGCAGGAAAGATATAACAATACAAATTTAACATGTGTTTTAAAAGGGGGTTGAAAGACTAATTTGATACAAGAACCCCTTGCTTTCAAGTTCAGCTCATTCAAGAATAAATTGAAGGTCCAAATTATCAGCAATGACAATTCTTCAATTTAAAGAAAGGGCAGACATCCATCCTCAGCATGATATTTCAATTTCAGGGAATAATTCAAAAATTGAATAGGACAGTAAGGAATTAGTAATTGAAATGTTGAGTTTTTCTTCCTTGTCCATTGCAGAGAAGGTGCGGAATTGCACTACCTTTCTTTTAATCCAAGAAATTTTTATAAAAGTTTCATGTTTGTCAGAAAAAATGGCACACTGTTCAACTGTTCATTAGTTGAGCAGAGTACAAATACAATCACTGTTTTTCAGATGTAAACATTAATCCAAGAATAAAATACAAATGGTGTTGGAATATAGAGAATCTAGGCAAAATTTACACACTTTCATAAGCTAAAATTTGAAGGGAAAAAATTAAAACTGCAAAAATGGGACTTTTGCCTTGAGCAAGTTGTTGATGAGTGACTTGTTGCCCACTACAAGTTGTCAGGGAATCCAAAAATGCCTTGGGTGCTGAAGGTAAAACGCCATATCCTGCAATATTGTTGACCTAAATACTGGATAGGTTCCCCAGGGTACCCAATATGGCAGCAAAGGTTCCATCCATCCCAGGGAAAGAATGGCATGCATAATTTTTCTCACCCCCTCTCCCCTCTTAAATTGGACATTTTGAGCATAAGTGTTTGTTCTTGATGGCCATAATTCAAAAGTCAATTCTCAGCAGTTTTGTGAATGCATCTGGGAGGACGTTTTTTCAGTTCTGCTATATGTTTCTGCCCCAATTATACAGACAACAGATTGGTGCTTCCTTTGAGTCATCAAGCCTTACCACTGCTGCAGGAAATTCTGTGGCCTGATTTCTTTGCTGAACTCAAGTTTTGTTTGCTGAACCCACTCAGAGCCAAAACTGTGATGTATTATGGAAATTGTACTGCATCAAAATGATTGTTTTAATTTAGAAAAAAGGCCTCATAATTTTCTTCCTCAAAAATACACCTTCAAAAATCATGAATAAGTGATGCATCAAGGTACATTGAGATTCACCAGACTGATGATCAAAATTTGTGAATGATGGTGATGATCTCCACAAATTCTGATTATTCTTTATAGTTGTGCTTAGGTAAAACTTGAAAATTGGTTTTCCAAGCTTGTTAGCTTTCTGTGTGATTACAAATTAATACAAAAACTGTGTTCATCACATATGAAAAGAAAACAAATTATATTTATGATGCCCATAGATCAGGTCAGAACTTTCGAAATTACTTGAAATTTAAGGCAATCTTTAGACTTTTTGTTGAATTATGCCAATTTCAAATCCTAACAAGCATATAATTATTTTATTCATAAATGAATTATGCATACTTAGTTACTGTACTTTTCTGGATCCAGAATGTCTGAAATTTCTCAAGAGTAACTATACCTTTCTTCAAGTAGATGATTATTAATTCAAGAAGTATTTCAGGGATTACACTCTATTTTGAATTATGAGAATTTCAATGAGTGTCCATATCTTATTGCTGTGATGGGACATTGTCCAAATGTCGGGGCACATTTTTTTCATAGCTACAAGTTGCATAGTCATAGTCCAACTGTCGATGTCGGGATCTCGGTGTATATATTAATTGAAAGTAGACTCAACATCAGCGGCAGCCACGAGCTTGCGAGCTACATTTTCCATTTCCCTTTTTTATTGCGGACACATGAACATCTCTTGCCAACAACGAAAAAAAAATTCTCCCACGAACTCCGCCGCAGTTTGGAGTGGAAAGGGAACCGAAATAAAATCCCCAAGGGAAGCTTCTCACGGTGTAAAAAGAAATTACAACGGAAGCAATGATCACATGGACACAAGGGAAACCAATCGGGCCAAATTCATGCTCTCTCTCTCTCCCTCCGGCGAGGACGCGGAGAAGTAATCTCACCACAGACATACCGAAAAAAAACGGGAACCAAAAAAAAAAAAACAAATCGCCCATTACATTATCGACAAACGAACGCAGTCCCCCAATACTGCCACGGTTCCCGATATCAAACACGGGCGGAGTTACAAGCAGCCAGCCTCCTCCTCAATCCTTTTGTTCACTTTCCCATCCGCGGACATGTATATTCACACCGCCGCCGAACATCACCCAGTTTTACACAGACTTGTCACAAGTACACTACTGCATTGAAAACACTAGCCGTGCTGAAGATTAAAACAATGCATTTTCTTCCCTGCTATACGGGCCAAAGCGGGCCTCTTCGAAATGTGGGGGGGAGAGAGCGATGCCTATTAAGGTCGCCAACAGAAATCTAATCGCGACACACCTTCCAGGCATGTAAGCATATACCCTGAGCGACACCTATCCGCGATCATGGGAATTCGGAAAAATGTGCTGCTTCCGTCGTGACATCAGATGGCGTGATCCACGGGGGCAAATCGCGGACTCGAGCGCAACATCTGGTGCCCAATGAAAAGCGCAACTTCAGAATTGGAGAATTTCGCGCTGTATGGGGGGAGGAGGAGGAACGGGGAATTTCAAAAGAAATCCAATCGATGTTTTCCGGGATATTTCGCAATCCCATCCTTCGGACTTGGAGGGTTGTGGATGATTCATCGCTTCATCAAGCTTGAGGCTCATCCACTGGAGCCGCATCCGCGGACTTGGGCGAGCACTTGAGCGCGTCCTGATGAGACCCTGCAGCGTCTTGCGCATTGCCTTTGTCACCACCGCTATCTTTTCCGTTCATCACGGATTCCTTGGCCGCTTCCGGCTTAATTTCTTTCATATCCTCCGAACCACCAGGCGCTGCGAGCACGGAATAAAAACCATCAAGCCTTTCGGGCATTCTTTCAATTTCGAAGACTAATATCAGAAGCAAACGCAATACGAATTCACTTTTCCCTATTGCACTTCTCAAGCAAGACATTCATTGAACAGAGAAGCACTACAGCATATCGAACGCAGAATGTACCATACTAAAAAACAGCCGGCGGAATGAACAGAAACGTTCGCTCTGCTTTTACTCAAATCAAATGAACATGAGGAGAAATCGAAGTCATCGCTCCCAATACAACGTGACAAGGAGCATTAATCCTTTCGGTCCATCAATTTACTCTGCAACTTTGAAACAAAACAAAAAAACTTCACATGCAAAACTAGACGTGGGCATGATTACGTTTGGGAAAGGACGACGGGCCTCTGTGATGAGAGACCCCGGTGTTGCCAGAGGAGTTTTTCTTCTCCTTGTGATCAGGATGTCCGTGGCCGTGACCATGCGGGCCTGAATTGGACGCGTTTTTGTGACCGGGTGCCTTGTTGCCACCCATGGGTCCAACGGTTTGCGTCGGCCGCTGGATAGGCATGGGAAGATGCCTGTTACCACCTGGGCCCTGATTGCCATGCCCACCTGCAAAATCGAAACCTTTGAGCATCACTTTATTTCATGAGGAATTATATTCCCAACGGCACTAGCGTCGTCATAAAACCAGGTCTAATTTCCATTTTTTACGTCTTGAGTTGGGGAATCAGTAAGTCGAATACCATCGATATCACCTAAATTCAGCTTCAAGTGTATACACGTACATAATTTGCGTCTGAATCAGGCTTCAACAGCGTTAAAATTCTGCGCGGTCAGTTTCGAGATAGAAACAAATGACGTGAAATTACACCAAGGAAGATATCAAACTGACGTGTCAAGAACCCGTACAACGAGAGAATTCCGATTTTAATAATCAAGAAACCCCTTCACACTCCTCGGGCGAATAAAATGGGATTAATTCGAGAATCCACGTTACAGCTCAACATGGCCACTCCAAAAACTTCCGTATAGTACCGAATAAGTCAAGCCTCTGGCTAACGTGAATTGATTCTATATTAATTTTGAGGAAAATCTTACCTGACTTTCAATGAACACATCGAAGTTCGAGTTAATATTTTGAGGCACAAAAAATTACTGTTTCGGCCTTCTGAACTCCTCGTATTTTGGGATCTGAAAATACTACCTTCTTTCTTTTAGGTTCAAGAAGATGTCTTTTCGATCGGAAATAAGAAAAAGTACTGTACCATGAATGAGCGGTGAAGAGGAAGGAGGTACGTGGGAGCCACCGCCTTGCATTTGGTATTGGGCGGGATTGTTCTGCGGTCGCCCGGTATTAAAATACGACGGACCGCCATTTAGAAGAGGCGGGCCCTGCATGCGACCACTTGGGCCCTGAGCGAAATGGCCTTGTCCGGTCGATGCGAACTGGGACTGTCCCACAGGAAGTCCAGGGCTACTGGAAGGCCCGCTCATGCCTGGGTTCTTGTTTCTTCCGCCCATTCCGCCTCCTCCCATTGCGCCGTATTTTCCCATAGACTGTTGGTCTGTGAAACATTAGACCAATGCATTACAGAGACATCGCGTTCAGATCAGTAATTCATACATGTTTGAACCTCGCGCTGAACGGATGAACAATGGGATTTATTCTAGTAAAAACAAATCCCAGATAATTCCCATCGCTCAACCAATGCAGTTTCTTAGAGTGGGACGAGGATTGGTCCGGGACGCCAAAAAAAGACCTTTTATATGCTTCCTGAAACGTCAAGTAAGCATCGGAACAATACTAGCAGTCGCTTCTCACATGCTTTTCGTAATTTATAATCTAACATACAAAATCTTCGAGCTTCTTATTTCGTGGTGCTGCAGCCCAGCATCTGCCCAAGAGGAGAGAATTCCTTTACTAGTCAACAGGTATTCATTTTGCAAGATGTTGCAGGCAAAATGATCTGCGGTAACCACGAGACTTGCCAATTTTACTCGCGAGCTTTGAAATATTCGAAGTTAAAGGACACGTTTTCGGTGACAGTGATGGGAAATGCCGCAAAAAGATTGATCTAATTTTTAGCATCTTTCTTTCTGTCCATCAACTTTCGGACTCGCTTGCGAATTTTCGAAGGCATTTAAAAATCTGACTTGCTTTGAAAAAGGAGCGCGCATGATATGTTCATTCAAATTCTGTACTATAATGATTTGACCCTCTAGGCGAGAGCTGAGGCCCTGCAGGAAGCTCAGAACACACAGTTTTGATATTTAGCTCGTCGGGTAGTACAAAATCACATCCATAAACATGGTCCTGTTTAACGTAACCATTTCAATCTTTCTCATCTTAGGGTGATGGAAAAAAATCGAAGTACTGTATTTGTCAGGGGCGGGTACGGTTTTGAGACAGGTTTAGTAAGGTAAGTAGGTTATTTTCGGCGCGCAGATGTTTCTTTCTGGCGACCCTTTCATGCCTTTCCCCCTCTGGACAAAGGCGATGGGAACTTCCCCGACGATCATGAAAGGTCAACTTCACACTTGAAAGCTAGTCGAAGATCAGTCCGGTTACCCTAAGGTAAGGTTAGAGCAAGACTGTTGGAGCAAGCAAAATCAGCTTCGCTCTAATTAAAAGGAACAAAACCTGCTTACTTTTTAATCGAGACAAAACGAACGTTAACCATGCCAATTCACAGGGATAAGAAATTTCTGAGAGCTTACATTCCCTTCAAGTTTCAGACAAAAATATCTGACTTTATTAGGGATTGCGACTCTGAAAAAAGAAGGCATAACTTCCAAATAACACTCACTCAGCATGTGCGCCATATGGCTCGGTGGGCCACCGAAACTGTCTGACATGTGGTCGAACACGTCCATGCCGCCGGCTCCTCCTTTGTACTGCATCAATCCTGGCTGACCGGCGTTCATGCCTTGATTCCTGAACGCATTGCTCAATCCAAATGCCTTCAGAAATGACACATTACGAAACTTACGCAGAGCAGAATTTAACAAGTGCATCTGAGCAACAATGAGATTTCAAGATAATTTGATTTCAGAAACGGCATTTAGCGAGAGATTACGATGAAGCAAGGTTGGAAACCAGAAATCGTCATGCCCAGAATAAAATCAGCATTTAACCGATCATATTATTTCAGTGATCAACGCACAAACCCAGAGACGTAGGGACACTTGGCAATATTGGGGTAATTTCATCGCTCATCATGATCTCGAACATAAGCAAACGAAAAAAAATGAAATCGATCGGCGTGGTTTTCACTAGCAACGACGCTCCCTCTGCCAAGGTATCATCGTGCTCGAACAATCAGCGGACACACGGAACGTTATATGGATCTTTTCCCAAGAGGCGTCCTTTTTATTGGTTTCAGGTTCGATATTGCACCGAGAAATGACTCGGAACCAAGCAGTCAAAGGTCAACCGAAGGCCTACTACCGGTGCGCGAAGAAACGCTACAAATATAATGGAACTCCCATTGTATGTTGCTCGGGAATGGGGAACGTTAATCTGACATTTCTGATGAAAAGAAAACTAACCTGCATGTGTTGGAAAGCTGACATGCCAGCAAATTGTGGCTGAGACGGAGGACCCACTGACGGAGGTGGCCCTGGAGGTGGAGGAAAATAACTCGGCGTACCAGCGTGGTGGCCTGAGGAACCTGGAGGACCCGCTCCGAGGTTCACACCAGGACCGTGGTGTGGCGCATGAGCATGGGGATGCTGCTGAGGCGGGCCAGACGGTGGTGGACCGGGCGGAGGGGGACCATTGAAGAAGTTGGGAATCGTAGTTTGAGGCGGCCAAACCATCTGGTGCGCCGGTGGAGGCGGCGGCGCTTGTCCGCGTTGCTTTAACTGCTGCTGTTGCTGGCTTAGAGAGTTCATTATCATGGAAGTCTGTTGACTTGTGGTCGGTGGGGGCGGCAGGTGGGGAGGCGGCTGACGGAAAAATATGGAGTCGTTCGGCAACGACGATTGCGGCGGACCCCCGGCGGTTGACGGGTGCAAGAAGGGTGGTGGCGGCGGCTGGTGCTGCTGTTGCTGCCCCTGTCCTGCTGCTGCTCCGGCAGAAAATCCTGAAGACGGCGGCGCTTGTCTTCCCAATCCCGGATTCCCATCATATCCGTACGCAGAAGGATACAGCGCTGCAGCCGCCTGTTGCGCCACCGACGACTGCGTTCCCTGAGCATTGAACATGACAGCAGGCGGCGACGGAACTGCACTCAGGGCCGTGAACTGCGACGTCGCCCCGTACATCATTCGATCCAAGGTAATGTCCTCGGCATAATCGCGTCGGTAGCTCATGGGGAAGCCTAGGCCACCCGTCGACATCGGTGGCGTCGGCGACGACATAAAGACTTGCTGCTGTTGAGGGGGCACCGCGAGAGGTTGGTGCATATGAGGTTGGTACGCGTGATGATGCTGCGGCATTTGCATTTGCGCAGCAGGCGGTGACGCAACCAGTGGTGGAGCAGTGGGTTCATGCGCCTGCTGCTGCTGTTGACCTTGTTGCGACGACGGCTGAGGCGGCCCAGTCATCGGACCGCCTTGGAAATGATGCGTCGACGGCGAAGCTATTTGCGGCTTCACTTTGCACACATTCGTAGATCCAATTGAAGGAGTCGACTGCAACTGAGATGAAACCGGTGGCGCAACATTGCCCACACTGGAGACAGCGACTACACACGGGTCTCCAGAAACAGCCGCTTTTGGCGATGAATTTGTAAGATCCGCCCTGAATTTGAACAAGCTCGTCAAGGACTGTTTTCCTCTTTCAGTCAAAACGCAACCCACTCACCCATAAGAGACGTTCTCCTGTCCTTCTCCAGCACGTCGGTGAAGATCCCCGTCGTTCGGCGAGTAAGAAGCCGACTGCTCTGCGAAACGCGAAACAAATCCCGATGTTTGCGATCCTGTTTTCTCATCGGACGACAAAATCGGTTGCTCCAACACCGTCGGCATGGGTGGCATGTCCCAAACCTTCGCAACAAACTTACTTCTTGAACGTAATTCAAAAATCTCAAAAGAAATTTCGAAGACATTTTCCAGTCAGTCGATGCTTAAAATCATGTTTTTCATTGGATTGACAGATAATGAATCTCATCATTTTAATTAATGTAAAGATCTCACGGTAAACGTGACGAATCGAAGTAATTCTACAAATCTTCTTGCCTTTTTCGTAGACGCGATTCGCTCATTCAAGTCTGCAGTGGAGGGAGAGATCGGAGACTGGGCCATTTGCAAAGCACGCGAGAGCGACTGATGTTCATTCTTCGACCCAATCGAGGACTGCATATTTGATGGTGTGCTCGATACGTGCGACGTCGTTCCCACACCATCCGACGTAGGCGCCTGACCAAGCTTCATTTCACTATGCTTCTCAGCTTTTCCGCAGGTCTGGACATGGGCTTCAGCGTCAACGCCGAAGGAGAACTCCAGTGACATCGGCGCTAAATTGTCTGAATCCTGAAAAAATTAAAACACACAGATTTGGTGATACACGTAACGAACAACATGGTCCGGTGTATTCGATTTCGCGCAAATGTGCGAACCTGATCCATTCATAAAATGACGTTGCTTTATTTTAGCACGCTCAAGAGGATTTGACAAAAGGCTAGGCTAGGTAGCGTGATAAACCTCATGATTCGTAGATTTACTTCTACGTATAGATCATATCAATTTTTTGGTATTACTCTGTACCTGGAGTTTCCTATTATCACTAGGAAAAAGGAACCAACCTTCCCGAAAGCGCTGGAATGCGCGACACTCTTCGCACGTGAGACATCATCACCCTCCAGCGATCGACGATTTTTGGTCTGTGGCTTTTTTACACCTGGTATTCCAGGGGCATTGGTCGACACGGAGAACCCGGTTCCGTTCTCGCTACCCTTCTCCTGACTCGTAACCGAGGATGATGCTCGCAGCTTGGTATTTTCTATTATTATCGTTCCAATGGGTCCATCTTCGCGGCCGCCCAAAGACTATCAAAATTCGAGGAAGGTAAACATCGAAGATAAATGTTTCAAAAACTTCGCATCGGAAAATTACTTCAGCAGGTGGTTTCACTTCAGATTCTTTCGCTGTTGGCTGAGGACGATTTGATCCCGGAGCAGCAGAAATCGGGGCCGAACCCGGCGCTGGAGTTCCGACCGGATCCGTGAATGCTTTCCTTGGGAATGGACGATCCCATGCATTTACAGATGGCGGCGGAGCTGGTTCAGGATCTGGAAAAGGTAAAGATTTGGGAAATAACGCACGGAATCCACCGACGTAAAAACAATTTACGAATGGAAATTCGAAACTTGAAGCCCGAATTACGCTTATTTGAGTCTAGTCGTTAGTTTCAATCAAGCATTAATTTTGCTGAAATGGATGAGATAGACGGCGGTATCGGAAATTATGGGAACAAATCATCCAGCAGAATGAAGTCCCTTCCGGCAGAGATTCGGCGCCATGACTCACGCGACAAAACCAGAGGACGCGAGGTTTTCGAGTCAACTATCGCCATGTAACACAGTAAATCTTTCGGGAATTTAGTCGCCCCCGCCGCCGCGACCGCATTACCACCACCACCGCCGCGATGACTGAATGCTCGAAGGCGATTCATACCTTTGACCTTCGCTTCCGTCAAATCATCAGCGTCACTACCAGAAGGTACTGGGCTCTGCGCACTAGTCAGAGAAGAATGACGAGCAGCCGCCGCAACAGCCCCGGCGGATGGCTCCTTGTGTTTCGAACTCCGCGGCGGAGCTTTGGATCGCTTGTCATGACGCTCACCCTTACGCTGAAATATTCAAATGGGATAATGTATGAGACATGCAGATGAGACATACTTTCCAACAAGAAACCAACCCGACACTCGAAAAGGGGACTTGGACTCGAAACATACATTTTTAATTCATGTACAAGTAGACGGGAGGAAATTTGCGAAATCACTGATAGGTTCGCCACCTTCAGTGACATTCTGAAACCAAACATGAACGAGAGAAAACATACCTTCTCATCTTTTTTGCTGCCCTTCGTTTTTCCCGACCCTGCGCATGTTACGATGCTGACGGAATCCCCTCCAGCAGCAGTAGTTTCTTGGCTTAACTTCGTGCGCTCTTTCGCTGCGCGTTTGGACAACACCTCTTCGAAATCGTTGATGGCCTCTTCTTCTGTTATTTCGGGCTGGTTATCTACCACGAAAACGCCTAAGAAAAATAACGGTCAAGTATGAAACGCTGCTGAATGTATATCGTTCGCTCCCAACGAAAACTACTCATTTTACCGAACCGAGGAAACTACCTCACAAAATTTCGGCTAGCGCGGCCGTCAATATTTTCATTCTGAAGTTTACTCACTTGCAATATTATTGAGGTCGTATACGCGAAATAAATCTTGCTTTTCCTTCTCGCGCTTCTCTGCCAATTGGGCCTGATGCGCAGGAGACGAGTTCTTCGAATCACCAGATCCGTCACTGCCGCGGCGTTCACCAATCGCCTTGGTCGTGGCTACGTGGGGGCCACCTGTTGGAACGGCGCCCCCACTCTGTCCGTTTTTTGGCCCCCGCCGCTTATTGCCGCCGCCTTCGCCACCTTGATGGCCGCTTTGAGGACCTGCAGTGTTCCCAGCGCCACCTCCGGAACCAGCAGCACCATTACGATATCCAGGACCAGGGTAAGGTCGACTTTTCTGACCACCAGAACCACCGCCACCAGCACCTGATCCACCCGCACCGTTGCCCCCTTCCGTTTTACGCGGGTCATCCCCAACCTTGCTGCTCTCAGAAGCAGTTTCCCAGTCCTCATCTTCCTTCTCGTCAGCCTGTCCAACGGACTGACCTCGTCCTCCCATGTTCCCTAAAATTGAATGTACCATTGTCTGTTTTCTGAACAGCTTCTCCGATAACACACAATAATCCTTGGAGCTACAGTATTTGTAAAATTCCCTTTTTGACAAAACTCGTTAGAAATTAGCTCTGATCAACTCTCGGAGAGATGAGCGAAAACGTATGAATCACGAATTGCGGCCGAAATGTTCCTAATCCACATGACAAACGCTTCGATGAACGCCCGGTCTCCAGCAGACGACAGGGCTTAAGGTAATGATAGCCAGACTCTTCTTGTGGCCAGGTCAAAGAAAGGAAGGGGTTAAAAAAATTCGAGAATTTTTTCGGTCCTAATAATCCTTTCCACCATCATGAGCACTCACGAAGAAACCCTCTCCCTCAACTTCTTATGCATTTAGGCCTTAATTTCCCCCAGGTGTTTTCCCTCTTTTTTTTCCTCGTTCCAAATTTGCAACTGTTGGAAACAATCGCCGGTCTCTATCATAGGAAGGGAGGGTTGGATTTTGGAAATTTGAATTAAACGCCAGAGGGGAAATCGAAAATTTGAAATTAACGCCGGGGGCATTCAATAGAGCATCGAGTGTACCATCTTCCGCATCGAATTTGCATGCTCAGACGATTTCAAACGAAGTTGGAAATGTTGAACGTTCGTGAAGAGTATCTCGGTCGATCATGACCGAAGTAACAGTAGATGCATTTAGCACTACGTTGAAGTGTTTCTCACCTCGTCCAGGAGGTCCTTCACCCCGAGGCTGCCCTCTAACTCTTACACGTCCTCTAGACCCACCTTGCCGAAATCTGGGAGCGACAGGAGCGGGGAACCGGGTTAAGCCCGGACCAGGCGGCTGTGAAATAGCCGCACCGCGAGGTCCGCCGTCTCTCCGACCTGAAAAATGTCCATGGTTATGAACACTATGCGAACAAGTCATAGTTGAAATACTATACCTGGAAATGCACCGGCACGTGATGCGTTTACATCTTCCTCACATTCACCAACGCCATCCGCGCGTCCAGCATCTCCGCCAGCGTCATTCCCTTTCGTTGGAAAAGGACGCTTGTCCGGCGGTGGTCCGTAGTTCTTGGCTTCGATTCGCTGCGAATTGGCGGCACCACGACCGGGGCCCCCACCGCCGCGTCCGCCTCTCGAACTGCCTCCGCCGCCGCCTCCACCACCGCCTCCGCGGCGATACCCGTCTCGCATAGACCGGGCACTCGCACCCGCCTTTCGCAGTTGATCTGCAATTCGAATCACGCCCACGACAAAATCACCAACGACGCCAAAAATTGATAAGCATCAACCTGTTCGATCTGCGCACGCCTCCTACCGCGAAAGAAAACGTCACCGCGACCACCTTGCCTCGAAAAACCGCTGCGCCTTCCACGACGACGCGCAAGGTCTTCAGAGAAACAATCGGGATCCCGTGAGATGCCTTTTCGACGCGCAGGGGAAACAGACTAAGGTCGTTGAAGGTTACTAATTGTTAAGAGACTATTTCGGAATGCTGCAAGACACGGGACACACATGAACCGTCAACGGCTTTAAGGTCAATTGATAGGTATTTAGAAAAAAATTTATGAACGAAGTTGTGATCAAGTTGATCTTCCTTCAACCTTCACAAGCTTTCTGCTTACGTAATAAATGGACGAGTTGTCTTGAATTGAAATTAGTTAGTATCCCCGAAAACCAAAGCTCCAAATAGAAAAATAATTTTCATCAAAATACTCTCATTCATGAAAAATGCTGTTCATTGGCATTCCACTGAAAATTTACCGGAAGCAAGCCTTTCGAATGACTTCGACCTCGACTCCAAGATATAAGTTGGTCCAATTCAGAAAATTGTCATCACTCTAACCTGCGTCAAAGAAGAGCATTGCGGGATTGATGGGGTCTTGCATCAACGGTTTCGGTTTGTCAGACGGTACAACTACGGGCGCCGGGGCAGCGGGTGTAACTCCAGTCCCATCTGTCCCGGTGTGTACGTCTGATCTCTGTTCCTCAGACTTCTTCGAGGGTCCAATTGATAAATCTGCATCCCCACCTTCCTGTTTTGGACCAGGCTTCCAATCCCGACGGGAAGTAGAGAAAACGTCTTGCTCTCGTGGTGGTCCTCCTCGACCGCCTCGTTCCCCATTTCCCCTAGTTGGCCAAGGCGCGTAACCACGGGGGCGTTCTCGTCCACCCTTGTAGGTGCGACCAGATCCCCGAAGACGGTGCACCTCCTCTTCTCCCTTTCGTCGACGTCTAGCGTCATCTCCACCTTCTTGCTCGTTGGTGCTAACAAATCAAAAAGTTAGACCATCATCATCGGAAGACAATATTAATTCAATCAGGGTGCACCAACGAATTGCATCAAGCGATGCCTGCCGCATTCAATTAATTTCTGATTCCATAAAGCGAACCGAGGAAGTCAGACGACTTCGCCTGATAGAGACGTTGGAAAAATTATCCGCAAAATGGAAAACCACGTGGGTTGAATTAGTTCACTGTAGCTTTGGACGAGTTACGTCATTTATTTTCCGTTCAATTCGGTAAAAAAAGGACTGCATTTCAGATAACAGGGCGGTGAAGTTGTGTATAGAAGAGTGAGCGTAACATTATCTTACAGAATCTGTGCGACCTTAAAAAAATTTTTTAAGATATCAAGAACTGAACAGAACTTGAGCAGAAATTGTATGACCAGATGATTTACTTTCGTCAGGCAGAGTAATAGAAAACATAACGAGTCTGCGTTATGACCAAAATGATTAGCGTCATTTTATCAATCGATCCTGCTTGAACTTGGTACACTATTTTTCTCTCAAATGATGTCGAGGACACGCGGTGGTCCGCGCGTGATACATTATCCAGATTTCAGAATCGGTCAAGGCAACTCACCGACGCTGTTGATCTTCCCCGCGTTCACGATCACGCACACCACGACCGCTTCCACGCCCACGGTTTTCCTTCTTAGGACGACGCCGATCGCCTGACATCCGAGTGCCACCATCGTCTTCTACATGCACACCGTCATCGTCACGTTGAGTCTTCGCAACTCTCGAGTCTCGTTCTTCCATGTCATCAGCCCAGTTGCTCGCCGGCGGCATAATTAGGAGGGGAGGAGCGGATTGCGCTCCCTGCTGCACAGAAGAGGATTTTTTCTCCGTTGCAGTCGAGTCAGGCTCCTTCTTACTTGACTGCTTGGCACGCATATTCCACGGGTTCTGCGCCTGCTGCGCAGTTTCGCCACCCTGATTAAGCATGCGGAACACCGGAGTTTAAATTTACGAACCGATCGAGTAAATTTGTTCGGAACTCCTGCGACAAGAACACGGTGCATCAAATACTGACATAGTCCTAGAATATACATCGCTTCCAACCGCTAATGACATGTCTCCGATTCCCAAAAAAATCGAATTAGATGTTCAATAACTGATGATCGAAGTTAAAAAGAAAAACTACAATACGATATTCTGCGCCTCAAAATCAGCGGAGTAAAACTAACTGAAATTTTTTTTCATCTGGGAAAAATGCGTAACCCTTATCAAAAATCAAAAATTTTTTCACGCCTTCAAAACCAAATGAAGCGATAGGCGGATGACCGTGTCATGCGCAAGATTCATCTCAAAAGAGCGCCTTTCGAAACAAAAACGAGCGTAAAAGAAATACAAGCCTTCTCCTCGCGAACAGACTTGTCGAACGGCTTCGAATCGGGTCCCGGTTGCGCATCTCCGTGCTTTCTGGGCTGCTGATCGTGACTGGCACTCGAGATAGAACCTTGATTGCTTGTCGACTGGTTCTGCTTTCCACGATCACCTCGTCTGAACGTGACCATCGAGTTCTGAGAACGTCCTCCACCTTTTCGATCATCTTCCTCGAATCGAGCTTTTGTAATAGGGGCTGGGAAACCTTGCCTCTGAAATTACGTTAAGGTTTTCAAATTAAAACCTCAGAAAAAAGGATGTCGGAAGATCCACGATAAAAATTAGAGCGTTGTACCGCTATTACGACACCAGCGCATCGATGGTTTCCGTGCGCTGGCTCTAATATAACGCATCATTATTCCCGTTTGCGAGGCCAGTCAGCGAAATAATTACGGACTGGCGTTACTAGAGCACAACGGGACGTTGACTTTGGAATAGTCGGGATGAAGGTATCTTGCCTGTGAATGAGACTGAACTGTACCATCCAACAGAGTTTTAGCCTCAAGCGATTCGTCACCAGGTTCCGGAGCAGCCCAAGATTTCACACCTCCGCGGCCACCCTCCTTGCCGGAACCTCGCTTCGGCTGGGCATTTTCGTCCTTCCGCCTATCCCGTCGACCACCGTCACGATGTGGCGGTTGCCCATCTTGCTTGTCATCACTTGCGGCACGGGTCTGATGTTTCCTCTCTTGTTGCACGTGAGCCGTCGGTCGGAGATCACCAGATATTTTACGCTCATCGCTCGACTTGACTTCCTTCAGCTCTTTATACAACGTGGGCTGGCCAGGATGATCACGAGATTTCACAGCGGTTTGTTCAGCTTCCTTCAGAGGTCGTCGGTCTTTCAGCTCATCCTGAGAAAGACAAAAACAGGTAGGTATATTTCCGGAAATGAAAAGCTCGTAAGGAAAATGGAAAACGTCATCAGTGTGACACTAACCTGCGGCATCAGCGGTACAACGGAACGCTGATCGAAGTCCCTTTCTTCGCTTCTCCTCTGCGACGCTTCGGACTCTTTCCGTGCTCGCCCATGTTCAGGAATAGCTTCAGCTTCTCGGTCCGTATCTCTATCCTTCCTCTTCTCCGCACTGAACTGAGCCCAGTTCTCCGCATGGCTAGCATCTCGTCTAGAAGCAAAAATATAAATTAGATCATTCACATTCAAAAAAAGTATTCAGGAGCGGAAAGCATCTACGCTCCTTTCCGTTCTGCCATTAAAAGTTCACCGAAGGAACAGGAAAAAGATATAGGGAACAAAGATGAAGGGAAGCCAGACTAAATCCTATCGTTCCATAAAAGACGACGTTCGGAAACAGGTCACCTAAAAAGTAGTGAAATAAGCGCGAAGTAAATGTCATCACACCTTGCGGCATTGATGGAAGCGGCACTACTGCCTCGATCTGAACCTTCGCGAGGCTGCTGACCACTTTGACGCCCTCCAACTTCCCGATCCGGAACGTGTGGCTGAGTTTGATGCCCATGACTGCTCCAAATCTACATGATGAAAAAATATCCGAAGTTGAAAATTTCAGATGGTAATCATCTCCAAATTCAGATTTCATTAAAAATTTGTCAACCATGTCACCTTTGGATCCTCGAAATTCGCATCGCCCGAACGAGACCACCTGTCTCTTGGAAACTGACGCCCTTCGTCACTCGGTGACTCGCAAGGACCTCGGGAACGATCGTCATTCAGTGGTGACGTCTCGCTGTCTGATCGCCCACGGCGCATCGGTGGTCCAACTGAAAAAAATGTGAACATGAACGACTTCGTTCCACGCAACGAAATATTGACAGCATCCAACGTACTCAGATGTGGAGCCCAATTCCGTTCTCTTGGGTCATAACCCGGGGGAGGTTGACGTGCACTTTGTCCCCTTGCACCGTGATGATCGCCGTATGGCCCATCAGCAGGATGGTGAAGTTGTTGTTTGGAAAGACGTGGAGGCATAGTGGACCTAGTTTTAGAATCCATACGACCCCCACTGCTCCGTCGAACGTCCCCACTGTGGTCTTCGTAATCATCCTTCTTGTCACCCTGTAAAAAGTTTCCATTTTTTTCCGAAGTCCCGAAGCTCGAGTAAAAATCTGATCACTGCACGAAAGTTTCGTTTTCTACTTACATGAAGCTCGTCGTTTTTCGCTTCTTCAATGCGTAATCTTCCTTTCTCAACGGCTGCCTGAATCTGATTCTTCTGCTCTCGTCTACGCCAGTTTTCCTCAGCCATTGCTCGTTCAAACATCTAAAATCAAATTACAGAGAAATAATACCGATTGTGACGTATTAGCCACGAACTTCAGGCTAGGTGCGATAAAAAGAATCACGCGCTGTCAGAAGAATGTGAAGATTGATTAACAACGAACCTGTGTTTGAGACACCATTCCGTAAGAGTAATTCTGCGGATAATTCACAGGACCTGGATGGGTAACAGGTCGCCCGTAATCGAACGGTGGCATCCACATTGGCTGAGGTCTTCCTTGTCCATCCCAACGCGGATCGTCCTGAAATATAAAAACCCCACCGTCTAGGATTAATAGGACACTTTTACTAAAAGAGGAGCCTCGTCAGATCAAATACAGTACATCGAAATAAACTGCTGTAATTTCGAAAAGACCTATCTAATTTCAAACGTACACTAACATTGAAATCTACAGCATATTTATTCCTTTCCAATTCAAGGCGAGGAGAAGTATAGAATTTTCGAGGAATCCATGAAGTGGATCCAATAAGTATTACGGAAATGAATGCAGACGCAAAGAAACTTGGTGTGAGATGTAATCTGCGCAACTTAATTCCCGATTGCCTCATACGGCAGCCTTCACGTGAACGAAGAAATGCCCACTCACGGGTCTGTCATGGGGATGGTATTCACGCTCCTTCCCGCTCGGTTCATCAAAACCTTTTTCCCATTCCTCGCGTGGTTTCCTTCGTGCACGGTCATAATTATCATCATCGTCTTTCCGAGTGTCCTTGTCACGGGATTCGCTCAAGCGCGAGGAATTGCTTCGACGCCTTCGGCCAGGTTCAGAAGCATCTTCCGACGATCCACTCGGCTTTCGCCAGTTCTCATGCTTGTCACGGTCACTCACTGCGTAAAGACGGTTGATTGCATTTTAGGATTTTCTTGATTACGAACAAGGATATAAGTGCGAAAGAGAAACAAATCATAGCTCCGTCATCAAACTCACCGCGAGGTCGCTGAGGAACTTCATCGTCTTCGTCGTCCGAGAAGTTCAGTTTCTTCGAGTAGTCCATATGAGCATCCGCAGAAGCCCAAGAAAGCCCCGGAGATTCTTTCAGTAGTTTGTTCATCCTTGAAAGATCCTCACTCTTAATGATAGGCTCGAATGCTTCCCTTTCTCGATCACTGCCTCGATTTCCGTTGCGATCTCGTCGATCTTCGTCGTAAGGCCTACCTCCTGATCTGGGCCCCCTGTTGTCATACAGATTCCGCATCCTCGGTGGAACGCTGGAGTAATTCGACTGCTGATAGTTTCCGGGTGGGTAATTCGCATAGGGGGGAAGCTGCGAGAAAAATGACGTGGTTAGGTGTGAAACCATCACTATGAATTACTGAAAAATTGTGCGCCTCAGTTTCGGGTTTTCTTCCATCATAAAGCTCAGCAGAACGAAAGTATAAAATTTTACATCATTTAGAAATACTGAATGGCATCATAACATCAGAAAACTCACGAAGGCTCCTTGAGGCATCTGCTGACGAGAGTAATCGTGCGAAGGCGCCATATGAGGACCCCCAGACTGAGGCATATTCGGAGGCTGAGGGGGTGCTCGAACCCCACCGTGACCACCAATACCATCATCTAGTAGGAATTGAATTTGCAATACACACATTTAAGCAACAACAAAACCTAACCACTAGTCAAGAACACGGACCTGTGCTGAGACCCAAACCACCGCTTTGAGAGGATGTGGCGCCAATCTGGCCGGTTCCAGTTGCTCCACTCGTAGGTCTTTTTCCCCCCTGGATCCAACTGCCTTCGGCTAAGAAAGAAGGTCTTCATAACATGCGAGATCGACACATAACATGAAATGCTGAACCTACTCTGCGGTCTCAAGCTCAATCCATGATCCCGTGGCGACACCTTTGCACCGGATGCGGTCCGATCGCGTTCTGATTCGCCGGCGTTGGCAAGTTTTGGAAATTCTTGCTGAAAGTGGGACGTTTGATGAGGCAGATAAGGGGGAACAAAATGAGACGGTGCGCCTGTAGTTGATGTCACGTTGGTCCAGGACGCAGCGGCGCCTGCTAGAGAAGACGGGGAAGTAACCGGCGGTCCTGGTTGCACCTTGGTTCCCACTTCGTTCGCGAGCGCAGCCCCTGCAGGTCCCGAAGAACCAACGCTCGTTCCGGATTTCGAGCTCTTCGTCGCTGAAATAAAAGATTGCATAAGTCAAAACCCCGTGTCCGAAGAATCTCGAAGTTAATATTCACAGGGCATGCTTGTCAGATTTTACGAAAATCATCAATATGGTACAGCAGAACGAAAGTTGAATTAATAGCATCACACAGTTCGAAACAAATTCGAAGACACGCAGAACTCAGAACTCACCATCCCTCGGCTGACTCCAGTCCGGTTGGAAATCTGGTCGCCCATGATTGCTCGTGCTGCTTGCCCCAACAGACGAACTCACCGGCTTCTCGACTTCCTGCTGCAGAATATAAAATTGAACGTCAAGGACGTGAAGAAATGACAAGAGACAGAACTAACCTTCGGTTGCGGACCACTTTGACCTTCTTTCGAACCCCATCCTGAACCTCCAGAAGGTACTAAATTAACGTGCGGATCGTTTCCAGAATTCTCAGACTTCAGGCTGGGAAGGTTAACAGGAGGCGGAATACGCCGAGAAACCATTGCTTTACCGATGGACTGCAAACCGCCATGTTTCTGAGTTGGGGCTTTCGGCTGATTTCCGACAGCTTTCCCCTTGAAAAAACAAACATCCGGTTACAGCAGGGTTGATACTCAAAACTCTTAATAAATGCAACAGAATAAGCATTTCTCGCGAAGGTGGCATGAACTAACTTTATAGAGATCATTAATGTTGATCGACGCAAATTTCCCCAGTTTTCCTTTCTCCCCTCTCGCTTGGGACCCCGGCAGCGTAGACATTCTGCTCCAGAGCACTCATTTAGATGAAGATGTCCCTGGAGAACGAACCGTTATCTGGAATTCGAATTGAAACAAACCCGAATTCAAACTCGGCATAACATCACGAAGTCAATAGCGGAATATTCCGTCACTCACCTCGGCTCGTTCAACAGTTCATACAAAAACGAGGAATAGAACACGCCCTCAGCTATGCACGCGTAGATGCGATCGTTCACGAGTGGAAGACAATTGCGCCAACCGTAATTAACTTTTTCCGATGCTGCTTAAAGTCGGATTCAAACACAACAACCAAGTACTCTTTACAACGATTGATACCGTCAATTCAGGGGCGGCAGTCGTTCCTCATAACACTAATCCAATATGGCGCTGCACTCTACTCCTGGAGAAAGCTTCAGATCAATGGCCGTGACGTCACACAATTAGGCACAGGTCGAACTCGACCTTTCAGAAGTTCCAACGTAAAATTTTTTGAAGAATTCCAAGAAATCGTACGAATAATAAGCGCGAAAAACTGGCATGAGCTTCGTCAATGATCCGTAGTGGATTTCTGGTGCTTCTCTCGCGACAGAGAAACTGAAAAACTTGCGAAAGCTTCCCCCTCCCAACCGAATTCGTATCATGGCGACACTACTGCTGATGCACTGGGCGCGTAGTTTGAAATTCCTGTCCGACGTCCGCCCATGTCAAGGACAAGTACAGTACGTAATGCGCTATCGATAGATGAATCGTCTCTTGATTATTCGGAAATTGTGTACAAAAGTGAATATGTTGGTTAATACAAAATGCGGCAGACGTTAGGTAAATTATACATCATTACAATATTTTATACGTTCTATAGATTGCTGCTTGAATAATTCTGCTACTGTATTACATAATGACCATGCAGGAAGAATGCTGTACTACAGCAGGTTCCATGTCTGCTCTTAAAAATCCCCCAAGTAAAAAAAAAGTAATTGTCTTTTAATGTTTATGATGTGGACCTAATACGATATACCTCACTTAATTATATGACCCAATTTAATATTGCATTATATATATATGTATGTATAGTTCAGTATATACATATATGCAGTATATAGTCATGCTCAGCAGCGTATAAAAGAGACTGACATTACACATATCTGCAGTGGGAGTCTTTAAGATTATTTTAATGGAAACCAACATTTTTGCTGAGGAAGATTACTGTATATTTACAGGAAGGTAAGAAAGGCTTAGTTATTTAGCAGGTTTTTGCTGGGCCATGTACATATATGTTGCTGAATGAAAGATTTGACAAGATACTGAAAATGCTGGGGGCAAAGGTACAAGAATTTGCCCAATTATTTGCTAATTTTTAACTTACTGTATTTTGAAAAGCATCAAGTTACAATTTCTGTTCTCCTTCCTTGATTTTTAGACTAATATCCAAATAAAAGGCCTCTAAATTTTTAAAGATGTACAGAAGTTTTAGGGAGAAATTCTCTATGCTACATAGGCATGTTTGATAATATGTGTTTACATGGAATTCAGATCATAATACGGTAACCGAACAGTAATGTAGTACAAACCAATATGAAGGATATAAAAAGTACAGTAGGTTCTTTTACTTCAACACATGTATAACATTGATGGAGATGAATAAGTTCGTCCGCACAAAAACCAGCGAAGAATCTAAGGATACATAATTGACACTTCTTGATGCTTTATACATAGTTTCTATGAATGAGGGGGTGCCAACATTTATACAACTTTTCGTTTTCAGAATAGAGAAGGAATAATGACGATGAGGTAATGAACCACACATAGGAACGTATTTTACAAGCTAGGAAATACTTTCAATTGATTAATGTGATAAAGTATCATATACTTTCTATTTATATAATTGAAGAATTACGGGTCAGCGGATAGCAAATTTTTCTCTCCACGTAAATCAAAGTATTGCATACTTATTGCTGTACAGTGTACACATACAACTGATCATCGAGTACGCATGCGTCGATCATGTACATAACACACTGCATTTCTCCACTCTGGCGCGTTATTCACACATAGCAGGCCAGGTATACGTCGATCAAACACGTCCTCGAAGATTGCATTTATGGATGAGGAATGCGAAATAAATTCAGAAATTGAATTCACACTTGCTGTAAATAAAATCCCTGCGTTCCAATTAAAGCGGGCATCGTCAATTGCTCGTAAAATCCTGGCTTCCAAATTCCATAACAGCTGTGGAAGACACGGATGGGCCAGAGTTCCAAAAGCGTTTCTTGCAATAAACTGGACACTTCGACAAGAAATACCCATCAAAAATTAAATCTCGGTCTGCTGTATCCAGATCTTGGTTGACACTTGAATTACTGAAACACACGCGACTCTCCACGCGTCGAGACATCACAGAACCACACATTCCAACAACTAGAAACCAAGAATAAATCCACGAAATCATGATCGGTTCGCCGTCCGCACCAGAATAGAAGTATTTGCTTCGCTTTGCTATGACGATCAGTTCGTTCACGGCCGCCAATCCAGTTCCCGCGCAGATGGGCATCCAAAATATGCTCAGTGTAAGCAACGAAATCCCGTGAAACTTCATCGCAGCCGGAAATGTCGGAATTTCAATAGGCCGCGATGAATCGTTGAGCGACTTCAATTTGGATCGGCAAAAATGCAGAACGGTCCAGTTGATGAGGACGATCAACATGCAAAACGAGAAGCCAGTGACTTCAGCGATCAAGAACACAGTGTAATTTTCATCCCTTCTGATCGTATGATTTTTATTAGCATTGATTTCCCGCAGATTCTTGTCGGAACCGTTGCGAAGTTCGCGGGAAGAATTCTTCAAACTGAGATTTCGATGTTGAAAGATAATTGGAAACGAGTTCGAACGTTCGTGATTGTTATCCCGAGGACCCGGGAGTTCATGGCTATTGTTCGCTGCGTCCGAAGTGACTCCATATACCCAGCCAACGATCAAATCTCGCAAAGCAGAATCGTCAACGGAAAGGTTTCCGTGCAAATTCTTATCGCGAAAACGCGACGAATCCATGTGTGACTGTAGATCCTCGGCGAACTGATGCACTTGTTCAACTGCGCGTTTTTCATCAACTACCCAAAAAGATATGAGTGAGAATGTGATCAGGAGCAAAACCGGAACGGACAGACACGCGACACCAGCGGAAAACTCCAGAGCAGGCTTCCCGAAGATTTCTGGGATATTGGAGTCCATGTGGCAATGCGACAATCGGTAAACTCGGAGCAGGATGTTCACTGCGAGCAGGAGATCCATCAGACTTTCTGTGATAGGCATAAGTTGCCAAATGAGAGGCCAGAAATGGTTCATGAACAGACAGACCGACTGCTCCTGACTGGGTGGAGAATTAAGCAAAGACATATCAACAATTGTAGCAACGAAAATTGCGAAGAAACAGAACAGCGCTGCGAGGGATGAAATGCCGACGAAAATGTTCCACCGCGCCCTTGAATCTCCGTTAAGCACATTCAAGAAAAACCGTGTCTCCATGATCATTCCTACGGAAGACGTCAGCAAAAACATGGATTTCCATGTGGAATCGAAGTCCACTCGGCAAATCTCCGATGGTTTCATCTGGAAAATTTGGCAACAGTTTTGTAAATGCATCGTTCAGAAACGACCAAGGAACACGAAATAAATACTGTACAATACTATTTCGATTTCGCGAAAAGAACATCCCAGGAATTTCAAGCTGTAAGGTTTTTTGAGATTGATCGTACGCAGAGTCAAACAAGGGTTCGCGGTAACTCCCGATATTTTGCATGGGCATTGCTGCTATCGAAACAAACTCAAATTTTGTCAAACTATGTTACTTTGTAATAATAACAAATTAAAAAATTCTTGCATCAGAATCAGAGGAAAATAATTATGACATCTGAAAAACTCCGGACGTCGCGAACACGGGGAAATTCGACCGCGGATTTTTTTTAAATTCTGACCACCACGAGTGCACTCGTAATTTGAATAGATATACTGTACATGAATCGGAATAAAATACTGTACTGCTCAATAACTCGTTCTTCTCGCGACTGGTACAGGGAATCAAAAATAAAACTTAGCAGCCCCTTTTCCTGGGGCCACGCAAGCGAAGAACACAAATTTGCAATAATTGTTAGCACAGCGGATCGCTATTCTATCATTCGACACAAATCTACCACAAATATCCGTTAACATCAAACCTATCACCAAAATAAACATGAAGCCGACCAACGGATTCAAATTTCACGAAATGAACTCGCGAAACGCTTTCGACGCTATCCTTTCAATGGGTCATTATTTACATGCGACTTTTCCGACGAAGTCATCAATCGATTCTATCCTTCAGAAGAATCAAAACACATCGATTCTCCACTATTGCATTGAAAGAATCAATTAGATTGATGAGGTGATCAAGGATTTTTCAGCTTGAGGAAGCAGTTAATTCAAGCAGCAATAAAAACCAACCACGGGCGGACATTGACTGCGTCGAAGAGCAGCAGAATGTATGTCACGCCCGCATGAATGATTCCTCGTGGAAGCGAACAGCGGTCATCAGTCAGATAATATCATTAGATCAATCCCCGTTATTTCCAGCAATTCGCACACCTGCCGCTTGAGCGAAAAACTAAGTCAGCAATGAGTGTGAGCTCAGAGGAAATCGAGAACATAGTCGGACTCGACCGCTTCTTCCCATACGCATAAGAATAAATTCGTCAATGCATGAATTTTCAGCTATGAAGCATGCATAAGATTAAAATTTTCAAATTAAATTTTTATTGCGGAACATCAGTTTTCGGAACGTCCCGTCGTCGGCAAATAATAACAATTGAATGCTTGAGAAAATTAATTAGATTGAACTTCGCGTGCAACTCATTGGATCCGTTTCCTGGTTTCGAAAACATTAATTTTGAAGTATTTCGGGAAATAAATCCATTATTCATCAACGCTGTTGGATTGATGCATCATCGCTCCACCTCCTTGATAATTAGCGATCGCTATAATGGCAGGGCTTTTCAGCCAGTAGTACGCGTACATTTGTCATAAGAACTTCTTCTTGTTATTTAGGGATGGGCTTTTCAAGGAGTTATCATTTCACAAATGAGAAGAATGGAATAAAATAACAAATAATGATCCATGTTTAGCAGAAATCTGAACGCTAAGTGTATGCTACGCGGGAATTTTTGAATAAAGCCGGACACATTTCCAATTCGAGTTGAAGGCACGCGTAAGACCCAGGAGGTAGTGCGTAAACGCCGCCATGTTTTAATATTGAGGAGAAAATCTGGAGACCTGCTTAAACGCACCGGCACACATTTTCAGGAGAGCAGAATCATTCTTACTTCAGTCACTAATTTAATTAAACATGCCAAGGACCGCGGGTTCGACTTACTCGACCGTATGCATTCGATATTTTAATTCAGAATTTCAAGACAGATCGAGAGTTATTGCACAGTTAATGTGATGTAAAGCTTACATTCTCATTTCTTCGTTTTACCTGTACCTCGTTGGGATGCTGTATTTCACAGCAGGACAAGTTTCTACTTGATTGCATTTGCACGTACGCCTCATTGGTAAGCTGCAATTCTCATTTATTCAAATTAAAATTTCATGCCGGAAAAAAGTAAGTGGAAAGAGTTTCAGCTGATCATCATGACTCAGGCTTCATTCGACTCCCAACATACTCGACAAGCTTGCTGAGCAAGTCTCGAATTTCTAGGTAAACCTTCTCGCACGCTTCTTCCGCAGCTTTCGTGACCACTTCTAGGCTTGTCAAATGGAACCGCGACGACATGTCAAGAAAAATCCGAGACTTTCTCGTCGGCATTACAGCAAGAGTCAGGATGGAGCCAACGAGAAGCTCCTCCAGGTGGTTGAGGTCTACAACAGGTTCGTCGTTCACCAACGACACCGTAGACGCACACACGAAATCCCGCATCGGGAGGCCAGCTTGCATCACGGCGAGTGTCGATGCATTCACGGCGGCTGCTACGAGGCTTCCGTCTGCTTCTAAAACCTGGTTGGGATTACCACTCAAAATCAAACGCCAATTTTGTACCGTATTGAAGCTTGAAAACCACTGAATCAATCAGCACAAACCTATCGAGTATAGGTGGAGGGTTCATGCGGAAAACACAGTGCGCAAAACCTCGCAATCAAGTTAAAAACGGAATGCGCACTGTGAATTCTCAGATGAAACGCATCTCGCTACACAAGTACTGTACTGTAATTGAAAATGAAGGCCAAAATTCGAGGATTACAAGAACCACAGAATTACTACGGCATTGTCACAAAACATCGAGAAGAACCTATAAGTAGACATCAGAGGTCTCCTTCAAACAATTTCTACCGGCATTTCAACTTCCGCTTTCCATGGGATAGACTCATTTCAGGAATCAACAACCAAGGGAAAAGAATTACCACCAGATTTCATTCACGTTGATACCAATTTATCTGTAACTTGCCGGTTTATTTTCAGTTTTTTATGGAGATCATTGGGAAGATAATTCTGAAATTAATACGCTGACAACAACACGATAGTCAGCTGACCTGACGCCTCGAACTTTTCAGTTAAACAAAGAAATCAAAGCTAAAAAGCATGGAGTAGTGTTCGAAATAAGTATCAGAAAAAGCAGCGACGAGGCAGCTTGAATGCCTTGAAAACTATTTCCAACATTTTTAAACGTGGTTTTCGTACAATAACACGTTAAAATCAGCAGTTTACTACTGTATTACCTTAGATGCTCAAAAAGAGTGACAAATCAAACTTCTACGCTTGCACTTCGAATTTTTCATTGAGTAACCCCCATGATTTGAGAAAACTTCCGTAAGCCATCGCATTTTATAATGGATACCTTTATTCGAAGATTCTAGAATTTTTTATATTTTTTCGTTCTACTGTCTTCGAGGAAGCTCTCGAATCTTCACTTATTTGGGGCAGCAATTCGTATTAAATAAGATGCGATACAGTACCACCCATCTCAAATTGCTCACGTGAAATTTAGAGCACAAACGAACGATGAGTTTTCTACTTTTAAAAAGGAAGATCTTACCTCGATAAAAATATCTATCTGAGATTCTGGATACAGATGAGTGAGTATTGCGCTCTCAAATATCTCCTCGATGGCTGAGGCAATCTCCGCGGCCGGGCGATCATTTTTTGAACTGTCTTTCCTTTCTGTGGAGCAGAATTCGGAAAGTGCGACTTCACAATTCACACAGGCTTCTTCTTGGGTGATTTTTGATCGCCCAGCACCACCGAGGACCTGTGAATTTGACACAATGAGCATTAAATTCGATCTAATATGAGAGTAACAGCTGACGAGAACGTCAACATACGATGCAGAAATATTCGTTCACACACCTCACGAGGACCATAAACAGCGACGAGAATTTTCGAATTCCCCATTTCGACGTAAGCACTGCCATTTGCTTCTGCACTCACGCAAAGTTTGCCCACGAATCGTCTCAGCTCATGTGGTCGTCTCCCGTCGTTCCGAAGGCCTTCCGGGGATATCACTTCCATGGCCACTCGACTTGAATACCAATAAAAATACAGGGTGAGAATCATTCACGCAACAAAAACAACGAATAATGATTGAAGCAATGGAAGAAGGGATTTGTTCGTATTTCAACGTTGCAAAAACCTACAGAAAGTACAAAAGCCGCATCAATGTAGGACATGAAAAGCACTTCAGTCACGCAAAAAATTTACAAATTTGTAGAAAGAATAGGACGAAAGAGTCGCTCGAGTTCTTAAAGATACGAAGTGTTCAATGGTTGTCTTGAAAGTGCTTCAATCGCGGGTCGCCTGGTTGAAAATACTTCGTGTCCACGTTTTGGCGAACGAAAGGATGGTCAATGATGTCTCGGACCGTGATACGCTTGTCTTGAGGTACCAGCAATTTCTTGATCATGTTTTGAGCTTGAGGATTCATCGACTTCGGGAACGAATAATCGAGGCGCAAAATACGTTCCTTTGTTCTGAGTTCGTTCTCACTTTCGAAAGGCGGTGACCCGTGGAGAAGCTCGTAGCACAAAATTCCAAGACACCACTCATCCGCCTTGAAGTGAAACACAGGAGAATGTTGGTAAACTTAGTACAGTAGACTAGTTAGAGCATACCTAGTCATCAACTATTCAACAAAAGAGGAAATTATTCCGTGTCGAATATCCTAGTCAGAAAAATTCAACGCGGCAAAATGACACCAATAAAAATGACGAACCAAGTGTCACTACCACCATAATATTAGTCGTTACTCACTAGTTTAAAGACATCAATCTCGTGATCTGAAATTTAAGCGTTCGCAAAAAAACAAGACGTAACGAACTTCGCTACAGCGAGATCTTTCCTAGGATAGCAAGCAAGATACAGCACAAGAACATAAAAAATAGTCATCTAATAACGATTCCATTTGATTAAGTCAGGTTCTGTATCATCAGAAAACTTTCCTGAACCAGGCACCATAAGATGAACATAAAAAATAAAATATTTGTAGCCATCTCTGATCATCATTAACACGGCGCTGTCTCAATCAATGGGCTCCTTTCCAGTAGGAAGATAATCACAAAAATAATCTATCGAACACGTTTTTCAATGATATGTATTACGTCACATTGACCCCAGAACTCCGAAAAAGTTAATCCTTTGAGTATTGCAGTCTGAAGCTGTACAGTAGGATTTTTCAATTGAAATTTCTTAGAAAATGTACCCAGGAAATTCTTGAATACATAAATGATTGACATAACATAGCAGCAAAAACTCTTAGAAACAAGGAAAACAATGCTGAACACACGCAAAAACCGGACGAACCTTTTCCGAATAGGTCGTTTTCAAGACGATTTCTTGCGGGAGATAATCCAAGGTACCACAGACAGTTTTTCTTTTGCCTTTCGGATGATGGATTCCCCAGCCAAAGTCACTGAGCTTCACGTCCTCCCAGTAGCCCAGCAACATGTTTTCGGGCTTTATATCCCTATGGATCACGCCTTTCTTATGAGCATAAACGAGCGCATCAGCGGCTTGGAACATGTAAGTCGCGGTCCTTCGCACATCCAGCACTCTCCCGGGTTGTTTCTGGACGAATTTATACAATTCCCCGTTCACGCAGAAGTCGAACATCAGAAATATACGCCGCTTTTCGGTGAAATAACCCAGGAATTCCACGATGTTCGGATGCTGCAGCTGGTTGTGAATCTCGATCTCACGAAGCACTTGGGTCTCCATGTAATTTTTCACAAGTTCGTTCATCGACAGCATCTTTATGGCTAGAACGATTTCCGTCTTCTTGTGAAGAGCTAGGTACACACGACCGAATCGACCGCGCCCCAGGGGTCTGCCTATCGCGAAGTCACTCAATTTATGCATTTTCCCCGGATCTTCATTCTCCGACATATTTAATTTCACGATATTATCACGCTACGAAGATCTGAAAAGATCAAGACAAAATGAAAATTTGAAAAGTCCCAAACATCGTCATTGGATTCACAAAATTATTCCCCCATTAAAACGCGAGACTTTCGGCACATCGATCTTTTGAACAACAGAAAATCTTACACAGTACAATTCACAGATTTGAACTTTAATCTAATAATCAGATCGATAATTCCAATAAAGACAAATGAATCAGAATACAAAGCAAAATTATCGATTCGGATGGCTAGCAGAAGCCAGCATTTTAACAATAACGCAAATACGAACAATGCGAAAGAAATATTCACCTGCATAGTAAAGTATTGCGGGAAAACTGCATAGAAACACAAACCTAAGTAGACTTGGAAGACCAAGATTTACAGCATAAATGAATAAATCCGAAATACTCATCTAATTCTAATCATTGGAAAAATGCTGACGCTTTCTAGCTCAATCTATGCGCGGGAAGTAACTTTTACAGAAAAATACGATCTCGATCAATCCAACGAAAGATTGATCATCATATTTTAGCAACAATAAGAGTGACTTCATTCGAATCGAGAGTAGAGCCTCAGCAGAAAAAAACGCCCTTTCCTAACCACATTCACTCGAGATATTTTGCGATTTTTAAAATTTACGCGATTTGAATGATGCATAACTTTGGCGCTAAAATCACGATTGCAACCATCGAAGATTACCAGCGTCGATCAGTTGCACGTAACGCTGAAATAGAACACAATCGAGCCGGAGTTTAGAGACGATTCTTCGATGCATAAAAAATAATAATACAAGTCCCATACACCGTACATATATTACAATTTTGAAACATTGAATACGATGGAGAACACGTGAGACACATTCATTCCTTTAGAAAATCCTCACACAAACCAGCTTTTAATTGACTTCCATGACATACCTGCGCAGAAGCAGACAATCGTTCACGATACGCTACGTCTGTGAACAAAGGCTTTGAACTGACAGGGTCCTTGAGCTGAACATCATCCTTTAGCCTGACAGCAATATAGTGCAATACCCGCCTTGAAAAAGATATAAAAATCGAGGATTTTTTTTAAACCTTTCGAAAAATTTTCAAGGGATGGAAACAAACCTCAAACCTGCTCCACAACGCAACGTCGTATCAGCACGTTTCAAACCCCAGATAACCAAAACTTCACACAGCCAAGTTGACAACCTTTTCCAAGCATCATCCGTGACACTCAATTTCCACAGAACACGGGCGATCAGGTAACTTGAATACAACACTCCATCACTGTCAATCACGTAGTCCTCATTTTCCTAAAAATTAAATACAACTTCTTTAAAATTAAAAATTATTCTTAATTTTATTCTTGAATTACAGGTGGACTATCTCTACAACGGAACTCAAGGGGCCAGGAAAAAATCAGTTGTCGAGAATCCCGGGTAACATTGGGATTGAACCCCACCGGACTACCCAAAAATTCGCTATACAGATAAAATCGTTGTCGACAAGAAGTTTGCAGAGAAAGTCTACCTGCATTTGGCTTCTCGACATCAAATTTTGTTTTTCTTCACTTTTCGTGAACTTCCCAACACACTGGAAAGTCGCACGCTCGTACATCAAGAAAGAACTAACAAGAACGAATCGTCAGGAAAGCACAATTGAATTCCGCGTCAGCAAAATCCTGGAGGATCGGCATGATGAACAAAGCAGAAATATGTCTCAAACATATTTTTAAACCGTGTACTGTAGATACTGTAGTGGCCGGGAAAATTTTACACCGATTTACAAATGGCCGTATCGGGCTAAAATTCAAGTCAACTTCATTTGTTTCGCGGTTGGCGCAAAATTTTCTTTCTCCAATTTGACTCATTGTGTTATATTCGGGTTGTCATGACCATTCAAGACGACGCCTCAAAAGTTGACTGACTGCCGAAAAAATCTAACTAAAATCTAGTGCTGAATAAGGATTTATATGGAAGCCTGATCAATATGCAGTACGTACTGATCTTCGATCACCATGGCCAAAAAGATAGCATGCAGCATATTTGTCAAGCGTTCTGATCACACAGTGCATGTACATGTTACGTAGTACTGAAGTGAACCAGTCTTGGAGGGAATATGATAGACGTTGTTCCCTCCCCATCTCTCTTTACTGGAAATAAATACCGGAGCCTTTTCCTGCATGAAATAAGAACATCACGGGATGAATACAACTTACAGAACAAGGCTCACGTTCCTCAGAGTTTCATCATACAACAAACGTTCAGCTCTGGGGAAGAAAACAAAAAAGCAGAATATTTCGTTGAAAAAAAAGTTATGCAGTTGAAACTACCCTGCTGAGTTATTATGAGGCAACACGAGTGATTTTGGAGGAGAGAAATATAAATGCTGTAACTGAAGAAGCTTAGCCTTTTACCGTCTTTTAAAGTAAAAATCGAGATACAGTACTCTCCTGTACTTATGAATCAAATACACGACTTCAAAGATGTAGGGTGAAAGAAAACTGTACTTCACCTCAAACCAATACTGTCGTTGGACTTTCGTGAGTAACATCTCTCGCCAGATCACTTCCGTCTTCGAGTCTGAAAAGTTCGTAAATTCGGAGCGATGAACATTTCTTCAGAAGACCGAAGGTAACATTTTATACAACTTCAAATGAGAATAATTCGAATTACGGTTATCTAAATTTGTGCAGATGGTATACTATGATTTAGAGATTGTTGAAGCACTGTCTGGAAGGAAACGAAATCGAACTAACCTGAAATCGAAATGTTTTCGGGGATGATAGAGAAATTGATGGAAACACCGGTAATTCTGCAACGGAGCAAAATGTTCCCAGATCTCTGTACCTCAGGAATCACATCGGGACATTTCTAAAAGAACAACATTCAACATTCCTCGTCACATTTCGCGCGAAAGCGGAATGAAGATGAGCAATCATTACCATGACCACCCGTAGGGTACAGTCGGCGAAATTTGAGACGTCATTCTTCTCTTTCACTTTTAAAAGAATGACGACAAAGCTGACTGTTAACTTGTTTGGCCAGAAGTCATTCGCCAAATCTTCAACGCGAATTAGAGACTTCTTGAAGGTTGGCGTACTCAAACGGACCAAATTGATGATTTTGGCTGCGGCTTCCGAGTAACGCAATGCGTCTTCAGTCGACGCCCGCATTCCATTATAGAACTTCATAATAACTGATTCCAACGCAAGATCATCACATTTCGGTTCTAGTGGAATTGCTGCCTTCACAGACAGGAAAAAGAGAAATACTACAGTAAAATCTCATTACAACAAATATTGTTACAACGAATTTTTCAGTACAGTATAACAAACTTTTTTCAAAGTCCTGGCAGAAATCCTATAGGGTACATGCTATAAAAATCTTGTAATAACGAACTCAACAATTCTATTATGGCAAAATTTTTAAGGGACATGTGATTTCTTCAAAGAAAAATCCTCAATGAATGCTGGCACAGTCTCAAATTTCTTATTTAAAATGGGACTGTGGCTGTTTCATAAGGTGGAATCAAGGATACAAATGATTCAAAATCCACAAACAATTTTTCTTTCCAAATTTGTTCCTGGGTTAGGAAAGATGGTGGGGGGACAAAATTAACCAAACAAAACTCATCTGAAAAAGGGTTTGTATGCTTGAGAAACCCTATGCTGATGCTTAGAAGTTGTAAGCTTTTTTGGAACATCCACAGTTATAAATTGCTTGGAAAAACTTGATCAACAGAAAGTGCTGTTGTTGAACAGTTATTCAGAATAAATGTTTGTCAATAATTAAACTTCTTTTTGAAGATTTCAGTTTTTTAAATGCCAAAAAAACAGCTGAAAAGGTTACAAAAGGAGGATGTTAAATTTAAGCAGGTTTAATTATTAGAAAATCTTCCAATCTGTCAAAATTTTTGAAAATCTGGTTATAACAAATTATTTTGCTTATAACAAACTTTATCTGGAGTCCCCACATGTTTGTTGTAACAAGATTTCACTGTATACTCAAATTGTTCTTGCTGAAAAATTTGTTAAAAAGTAAAAAACAACCGGGAGTGCTTTGTGTCTCTTTGGAGGATTGTCCAACATTGTACCAACAGTATTAGAAGAATCATGAACATCAATTAATTAAAAAATGCTAAATTATGTAGATTAATCTAAATTTTTGGATCCAACTTATTGGAGCTTCAAATTATGAACTGATCATTGCAGCATGGATACTCAAGAACACTCAACATCACACAACAAATAGGATGATGCACATCAATTTTTTGATAGCTCTCATCATGATAACATTGAGCATGGAATTCACATTTTCACTTCTGTTTTTTCATGTTTTTGGAGCACAATAAAACTTTTTCCAAAAAATAAAAGAAATATGAGAGAAATCTCTTCAATGGAAATGAAATTTTGATAAATCAATTGAGTTCTCAGAACAAGACACATTAACAATGCAAAAATCACCATTTTGCATTTATAATTGCAACAAAATCTGTCAGGGATTTCCCCAAAAAAATAATTTATAAGTAAAACACAACAATCAGCCTGGGACTGGCTGGGAACCTCTTCAAAGAGGCTCCAAGAAATTGATATTTATTAATGCCCCGAAAGAATCAAAAACTCAGTATCTTCTTTAAAAAAAATAAATACACAATAATCACACAATTTCTCAGAGAACTGGTTCAAGCAGTGGAAGTTAAGAATGGGGATGAGATTCTGAATATGCTATTAATTTTAAAAAATTTTTGAGGCGTTTATTCATTATCAAGGAAGGGTTGTGTTAAACTTGTTCTTGGTGAAGGTTGGGATTCTTTTCTGCTTCCTGATTGGTTATTCATGTTAAAATTGAAGACAATGCAGCATTTTCAAACAAGTTTTGAAGGTAAAGCCCCAGCACTGGTATCAGAGCGTTTTATTAATGCAATTATTTATGGGCACGCGCCTCAGTCCCCATCAATACCATACATATGTATCCTCGAAACTCACCACACTTCGATTGGAAAGTTCTTCATACCGCTTCATGTGACGCTTGCCATTCAAGTGTTTGCCGACATCTTTCAAACTTTTCAGCTTCGCATTGCATAAAATACACATGCGGAATGAGTTTTCTCCTAAAAATATACAAGGTGGGCAACGGATAGTGAATTATTTACCTCTTGAAAGTTATTCCCGCCTCACTTTTAAAAGGAGTCACGAAGTCTTCTGAACTCAGTATTTCCGGTGAAAATGGATCCCAGATTATATCCTGTTTTGCGAATATTTCAAGGAGGCATGGGAGATTGAGATTTCGTGACAAGAGAAATAATTCATTTTTCAAAACGAAGATTTTTAAATACAGTGCAATCGTATTTTCAAGATTTCGGAAGATTTAGTCAAAACTTAAAATCGTGTATCATCAATCTCCAGGATGAACCACGAATTTGACAAAACCTCACGTACCTTCCTCACACAATCCGACTGAACTTCATTCATGTGTCCTTCAGATTGCTTTCCAACTCTAACTTTCCTCGCTGTATCTGTGGCTGTTCTTCTTAAACGTAGCATTCGCCTGACTCTTTTCGAGATTTCTGGCTTTTTCCCTTTGGCAGGTTTAGTCCATATGCTAACAACAATATCCCGAAGCGCTTTAACGACAGGAACGACCTTTAACAAATTTCCATGTGACTAAGTTTTTTTTAGCTCGATTCAAATTCTTACCCGCTCATTGTAATTTTCTTTCAAGGCCGAAAAACACATTTCCAGGGCAATCCCTATAACGGCATGATGAGACAGCGTCCCGTGGACACTACTTCCATACTTACGGTATAAACGAATACACGCGCGGATGAGGACTTCGAAGTGCTTTGCAAGCAATTCGGGATATTTTTCCTGAACATTCCGGAGAAAAAAATGACATTTGAATTTGAAGGAGGATCTGACGTATGGCCCATAGAACTCAAGTGATGCGCCACATTTCCTCGAAATATGAAAAAAAGACAGTGCGTCCCAATGACACTTTTTGCTCTCATTTTACGGGATATCCCGAAGTTTGAAGGAAGATATGATAAATCTGATGGAACCTCAGAATTGTTTATGGGAAAAAGCCATGTACAGGTTTATTCACATTCCTTAAATTCATTCGTCACCATGTCTAACTTCTCTTGCATCGCGGAAATCAATTGCAGTAATTGTTTTCTACGATGGGAGCTGGGCTCCAACGCCGAAGTTCATTTTATGTTTTCCCGAGACCATTGGGGAAGCCAGTTTTGTACAACCATCTTTTTTCCTGTTTATGCGACGAAAATTGTTCTAGTTTTAGAAAATGAAATATCATCTCGAAATTGAAACTCCGACCCTCTTGAATGTTTTCACGTTCTTCAGTCAGCCCAAAAGATTTTATAAAAATTATGGATGTCACTCACCCAAATGATGGAATGTGACCCGAAACATATAGCGCTGGTTTTCGTCACTATTCTTTTGAAGCTCAGGAATCCCCGGTAAAAAGCTTGCCTTAGCACGATCACCTGCATTCGCCGTTCGAGATCTTTCAAATTCCACAACCAACGTAACTGGGAGAGCATCACTTTGCGTGAGGATAAAAACCTACAAAACGGTTGAACAATCGTAAAAATACTTTTAAAATGTTACATGACTGAAACTTGAAGAAGAAATGTAAAATTTAAATCAAGAACGGATTCTTTCATAAATTAGTAAGATAATTCTCAAATAAGCCATTACCTCTGCACAATTTCTTCATCCGGCAAAAAAGTAGTGGTCGGGGTCAACTCTCTGCATAGGAAATCCGGACAATTAAAGCGTCTGACGTCCCAAGGCGCAGATATTGACTCACGAGAACAATGGACATCGAACGAAAACCAACGGACTTCTGAAGAATTTCGGGAGAATGACTGGAACAGCGGGATTCAAAATTGACCCACAGAAAAAAAATGTCGGAGTTTTGGCGACTGAACCCATCTCATCATTTTGCTGAAACCATCCAGTTATGTTGGTCACGGTTTTTCTCTTCTGGAAGCAAACATTCCCTTTGCAGCCTTCAGACGTCGTCGCATCCAGTAAAAACCTGAAAAAGGTTGTTCAACACTAGAGAATACAGGGAATTCGGACGAAGACACTCGTCTATGTTTAGCACAGATAAGCGCAATTTTTTAAAAGTAACTCACCGCTCGACTCGTGCAGAATCCGTCGATGCGAACAGCACATCGTCGTGATACCGTCCAAACATTTCTCCATCCATCCTTCGCGTTGAGGTGAAGTTCTCGAACATGGTCCGAAACAAGGAAGTGTAGTAAATTTCGCACAACATGGACGAGGTAGGAAACGAGCCCTGAGGCACACCATGCTCCAAACTGTACCACTGCTTTCGCCATTTGACACGTGCACGTCGCGAATTCTCGACCACAGATACAGCGATTTTTTTCTGGTCCAAAACGGATACCAGGATTTCACGTAGAAGTTCGTGATCTATATTCGGATACGCACTTGACACGTCAATTTTGGCGAAGAAAAGAGGTTTCCCAAGCGCCTTAGCAAAGTTGACGCAGCTGATCCAATTTGTGTAGATCTCGGAAATTGAACAGGAGCTCATTTCACCGAGATCTTGAACGCACTTCTTCAGTTCGGGATTCAGCTTTTTCCGCACTTGTTGCATTCTGTTGAGGATTACATTTGTTCAAAAACTAGCCATAAAGGCAGAGTTGGGTTTTCAGCGCCGGAAAGTCGAGTACAGTACGTGGTATACGTCCAAGGTTTTAAAAATTCTCAGAAAGAGTAATAATCGCAATCCATATCTTTCTTTCAGAAAGGAAAATTAAACATATAATGAACACATCACAACGTGATTATCCTCCATTTCTGAAAAAATTTTACAGCCAATTGATCCACTACTAATAGTTCTCTGAATCACTTGTGGGTTAATTCAAGAATGGTTTCAGAAAAAAATTATAATTGACCCGTACGCGCATGAATCTCCGATGTGTCCCCCTGAAATTTTAAAATCAGGCTTCAATCTGCCACCACTTTCTTTCAGTATCCATCCCCACGTTTTTTGCAATGTAAAAATGTTTAAAAGATTATAAATTGAATGATCAGGCTTTGAGGAAGCAAGTTCAGCTCAGAGATAGGATTTTACTGTTGTAGAGGCTGAATACATTAAATTATTCCGATGAACTACATTCAAAAACTTGATATGAGTGTCAGCAGTCAGCACTTATAATTTTTAACCTTCAGTACGCATGTAATTGCACGGAAGTATTCACCTTGCTCGGGTACCAGTGTCGCCTCGCAAAATAACACAAATTTGACGCCAAGAACCATCAGGCTTTCGCAAGAATCGCAAAGCAACGTTATGATGAGCGGTGGAACACGAAGGGCCTTGTCTAGTGACGAGGGTGCCGTTTTCTACGAGTCTCTTCACCTCCGAAGAGCATTCTCGCAAATACGCTTTTTTGTAGAAAACGTGCAAACGGTTATCAGACGAGCACGTCTCCGTGACGTAGAAAAAGGAGGAGATCAACGGGCTCACATAGGAACGCAATAGCCAAGCTAGAATATTCAATTATGATAATATGAACACATCTCAGGATCTTTCGTTCCCTCAAGCGCAAGGAAAAGGAATGTTTCTCACCAATGGAAATGACGTAAGATTTTCCAAATGGAGCATCAACTGAAGAACTTCCATCATTCAATACATCGGTTTCCATCGCTCCAAAAACCGTCGACATCAAGAGTTGATCACAGCGATGGCCAAAAAACAGCGGCAAAACTTTCGTAGTGAAGTGCTTTAAATTCTTCGAAGAGCCAAAAAATTCAGGAGGAATGACTCTCAGGATGCATCGCCGGAGAAACCTTAGGACATCCCCAATAGCCAGGGATTCGAGTTTTGCTTCTCTGCATTTCGGAAGAATGTTGAAGAAGACACGGCGATACTTGAACCTATTCGCGGGATAAATAAATGAGATAAACCTTAAAAAAATATTAACATATGTGTTAAGTTTAATGAACTAAAACGGAGTAATCAGTTCCTCCGAGGTATTCAATGTTGTGAGTTCATCAAGATTTTCGATTTTACGTGCCTGTCAAAACGAATGTCGGGTAAGTCACTTGCATAGTACAGTACCTAAAAATTGGCCTCACTCAAACTGCTTCCTATATTTTCACCACACTAGACACATTAGGCCATTAACAGGTAAACTGAAAGTATTAAATGTAGGAAAAGCATTTTTCCAGTTAGATGTTCGCACAACTGAGAAACACAATTATCCGTTATGCATTCAAAAAACTATTTTCCTCGTAAATGAAATTACAATTAAAATGCGGAAGTCTTCAAACTTACTGGATGTGGTTACGGAGAAGATTAACAACTGCAACACGTAGTTCAACCGCACGATCGTAAAACTCAAACTTCGGATTGAGGAAGAAACCAAGCTTGACTTTTCCCCAGCGAAGGCGAAATTTCGCAAGGCTTTCAAGCACACATTCGAGCGACACATCCACATCACTCAGGGCAGTTTTCTTTTTCCAAAATTTAAAGATGGAACGACCGAGCGATTCTCCGTACAAATATCTACGATGCAAGAACACAACGCGAAGCTCCGAAACATTCATTTCATTTCTGCAAAGAGAAACATCTGCTGAAAGAGAGAGAGATCGCTGCAATCCAAAACAGACGATTACTACCGACAATAACAATTCCTTTGCTTCATAAATATCCCAGATTTCGTCCAGCTTCCGAGTTGCAAAAATCACGACCGTTTTAAAATCAGTAAATTCGTCCATTGATTCGAATCGACGTTATTCTGGGCAGTATCGTTAAAATTCGAAGAATATCACACAGCCAGGCCTGTTGAAAATCCGTCGACCCCTCACCTCCCTCAACTAAGTAGAGAGACCCAGTTTCCCAAACAATAAAATTCAAAATCAACAACAAACAAAGAAATCAACGGTCAAAATGTCAAAATATACCGAAGAAAAGAAACACATCGACAATTAGGATGTAGAAATCAACTAGGACCAGCACATTATTTCGAAAATACGTATAGTATTCCGAAACATTGAATGTTTAATTTGCGGAGCTGGCAAGAAGAAGTGTTCATTGCTCTTTTTCCCTACTCCTAACAATTGCACATTTGACGGTTTTCCTGAGAAATTTTAACTTTGCATGAAAAATAATTGAGAAGTTTTCCCTTAGATAAGATCAACTGCTCTGGATTCCCGGGAGCTGTATTAAAATGTATCGTTCTCCGACGCGGTCGCATGTTTAGGTACAATCACACGTGCGAAGGAAAAAAGGAATTTAAAAATATAGAAGCACGGATTCACGGTCAGATAGAAGGGAAAAAATTGAGAACGCAAACAAACAAAAGTAACAAATGCAAATTTCAGACTACAGTCGGATCAGCGTCGTGAGAATGACCGTGTCCGTGAATCATTTCAAGGGCGATCATGCACACGTATCCTGCAATCACGAACACCACTCGAAAGACGCCGTTGCCTTCCCGCTCTCTTTCACGTTGCAAAACCTCAAAAAATGTCACGTAGAGCAATGTTCCAGCTGCTATACCCGACAAAAACGTCGTGGTCAAGGTTTCAACTTGCGTTGATCCCGTGGTCTCACTGAGTCCGATGCCAATCGCCACTCCAATCGGCGAGACCAGGGCGAACACAAAAATGTATAAGAACACCATCATTTTCCGTACCTTTGAGAAACGAATACGGTAAATTAATCAAATAGGAGCAATTTAACGAGTTTGGTGAGATACTTAAGATACAGTATCAAAAGTGACCTTAAATGGTGAATTATCCAAATCCTTTCAAGCACTTTCATTTGTACTGCTTACCGAAACACGGCCAGAATAAAGGAAAAGGCAAAATGAACGACAAGAATTAAGATGATGCAACAATGTCTAAGCCTCCTTTTTCTTGAGTGATAAGATTGGAATGGGTCATATTTGTAACATTCTCAAGAAAAGAACTTTGGTATAGCGAAGTTTTCCTGCAAAATCACCGATTTGCTTTTAACCAAGAATTACTCGACCTAAAACATGCTGATTGTCTGGATTACAATAAACTGAATTAATCCAGCTTTTTCTGCCGTGCCACGCAGTTTTTGAATTTCAAATAATGCGGTGCTTTTCAACCTTCGTGCATAACCGTTGCCTACAATAGAAAATTTTGTTCATACATTTTGCTTCGATTCCGTTACGTCGAACTTTCCTCCGCCTTTTTCGGTTGAAGACAGCGCTACATTTCTCCTGAAGGATGCAATTCAATCAGAGAAGCTTCAACTTCGTGAATAATTTTTCATAGCGTTTCAACTTTCAAGTTCCAAAAGCTATGAAAAATGCATCTTCCCATTCACATAAAATCAACAAAAAAAGCAATGGGGAGGGCTAAAATTTCTGATGGTCCCCTAAATTGAACCAAAAAATCAGACCTCCAAAATTGCCATACATTCTCAATGTTTGAATCGAGGAAGAGAACATCTCGATTATATGCAGGTTTTGCTTTGGATAGCGAAAAGTGATGCGCGCAAGCGCGGAAAATGACATCCTAATCGAGCAATTTTTAATTAATGGCTTCGAAAGTATTCGATTCTGTTCAGTTGATGCACAAACCTCGGTAAGATTTTCAATTGCAGAACTCACCCCTCCAACTACGAGCTCGAGGCCAACACAGAAGGTGATCACAAATTTGTGGAAGCTCACGGCAGCGAACAGATACCACACATCAGTTGGTGTGTTCTGAAGTCCAATCGCCAAGCCTTCGAACAGTGAATGGAAGCTGAGAGCCAGAATAATGAAAACGGAGCGTATAGGACTGATGGCTTGCTCATGTACGAGAGACCAACTCCTTTGTTGGCCGTGGTCTCTGTCCACAACAGCAACAATCGGCACTTGAGCGACGTCATTTGCAACAGTAATCATAGCTGCTTGACAGCCGGCATTTGGCAGTCCAACAGAAATGGCACCGTAACTCTTGGGATGCCCTTCAGTTATGATACGCAAACGTGTAGCTTCCTTACGCTTCGCAGACTCTTGAGAATCTAAGCTGCGAGATAAGTATGATGCGCCCACGGATCCATCTTCCTCTATGTTCCATGTTTCGCCGGAGGTTGCCATTGATCGTGAGGAAACAGGATCATCAGCTCCTCTTACACTACGACGCTTAGATTTTAATGCAGATGCGCCAGACGCTTGGGAAGAGTTAGACACATCGTTGCGTGTAAACTCTACCGATCGTTCCAACGAAAACTTGGGTACAACAGGATCCGCTTGAGGATGCGACAAACCTCCAGGACCTGCGGCAGATCGGCGATTGGGTTCGTAAGGGTTCGCCGCGCATGATCGGATTGTCCTCGTTTCAGCAGCATGATGGGCGTGTCCAGCATGGAGGCACAATGCCCAATGAATAATCTCTTCCACGAAATATATCATGAAAAATCCGCATGATATTACAAGCTCTGTCCACGGAAATTCGTCTTCATCCCACTATCAAGAGTTTTAAAGAAGTTCATTTGATAGCATTAACAAGTTATTGAGCAAGGCAGGAACGTCACCTTTGCAGCAGAAAATCCTTCTCGAACTTCAGGAATCATGTGGATGAAACAGGTGGCGAACAGTACACCGCCACCAAAGCAAAGAAGCCAAGACAGTAGCGTATCGCCCCATCGTGAACGTCGGGCTGCACTTTCATGGTCGCCATACGAATGCCATGCGGCGAGAAGCTGTTCGACTTTGATTGGAAATATGCCACAGAACACGGTCCCGAAAAACAATCCAAACAAGGACACAACTTTCGCGTTAGTTGTGTCCGTCATCGCTCCCAAAATCCTGGGAGTTAAAATCAAACCTAACACGCGTCCTTGCCAATTAGACCGAAGAGATAAAAATCACATGATAAAGGAAATTTTTCTCAAGTTTAACACACTTCATCGAGAAGTGATCAATCTGATGAAGGATTCGACGGAAATTGCAATCTTTCGAGCTGCGACAACGAACGAGGACACAGATGTGTAGCATAAATCATGAGGGAAAAAATTAGCTAGAGATACTATATGAATGATTTCTACAAACCATTTCTGTTTCGATGATGCACCACTAAAATAAACCGCGAGCGGTAACAAAGACGACACGTTCTTAAATTCTTTCGATTGGGCGTCTAGCATGCAGTACTAACTAGAGCGCGCGAAAGTAGGCGACACAAATTGACCGCGTCGAATGCTTCGACAACGATGTGGTTTAGCATGAGAACACAGTACTGAACTGCGTAGGACCGTAGGTCAAAGAGCTTCGTAAACTAGATCCTCTGCCTCCCATGAGCCCAAGCTGGTGCGTTGACCCAAAATTTCACTCCATTTACTTCACCTCATCACCGTGACGCACACATTTCACGGGTTTAGCTTTCATAATTGTTGACCTTGGTGCTGTACCATATTTTGAACGGATGCCTTGAATATTCCTGCTTGCATGATGGGACTACAGTATACAGTACAGTACTGTATAGCTACCAATGTTGAACCATGGGTTAGTCCTGAAACTCCTGGAAGACAGGAGGTGCAATAAAGTTCACGCCAATAGATGACGCTCTCCTAAGGGTGAAAGTAATTTTATTTGCTGCGTATGTTGTCATGCAGTTCCTCAAAAAAACGTAAAAACCGATTTCGTCATGGCTCCACAAAAATTTCAGGGAAAATGTAGGCTTTTCATTTTCATTACGTCAAGCATTCTTCCACAATCTAGAAAACGACATTCATGTGTTATCCAAAACAAAACAAAAATCGCGCAATTCACACTTCATTTTAATATACGCAGACGATCATCGCGTTTCCGCGAAACAAACAAGCTCGGAATTTCAGGTTTTTGCGACGATAACTCTTTGTAGAGGAGATAAATGATTCAAATTTCTTTGCAGTCCCGCTGATTCTTTCAATATTTTAAGTCTTCCCTGTTTCAGCCAGCAGTGACGCGTTGTTTGATTCTGCTTCTCCCGTGTTCTTCGCGGTTTCCATCCGCTTTTGCACTGCAATCGAAAAAACATCCTCATTTTTATCTAGTAACTTCCCATGCACAAAATTGAAAATTTTTTCTCGGATGTCAAAAAAATTGAGAACTGCATAAAAAAAAAAAACCCGATCAGCAACTTCATCATCATTTCACAATGTTTTCAACCAAACTGAAGCTTACTTATCGGGCGTATATGAGTAAAACTCTTGACTGTTGAGTTCGATTCGAAAGACAAGAATGAATGAGGGTCTTCCACAATTCTTCTGGAGAAAATTTCGGCACTATATGTACTGTACAGTATTACGGCACTGGGCACCAGGGAGGATCTGCTCTCGTATAACCTGCTCGCACGCCGCGCCGGTCTTTCCTTGGATGGACATTCCCCCAAACAAAACCTTTGTAGTAAAATTACACAGTACAGTGGCCCCCCGCCTAACAGACCTCCTGTGTAAGGGATTTTTGCCAAACAGACCAGCTCTGCAAGCAGTTTTTCCATTTTGGTTTAAAATTAGTGTTGAAAATTGAAATTTTTAATTTTTATGTAATTGAATTCATGTAAAGGACTTTTCGTCCAACAGACTTGTCCCTTGCACAAATCAAGTCCGTTAGACAGGGGTTGACTGTATGTTATTTTCCTGTTTATTCACTGTAATTGAATTGTTCTTGAAAATTCTAGACTTTGAGGGTGGTTAGGTTAAGCTAGGTTAGGTCAGGTCATGTTAGTTAAAATATTTTTCAACTAACCTAACCAAACCTCTGACGTTTGTTCCTTAAAATACGCGTCAAGCAACATCTATTTCAATTTGTATACTGTAAAAATAGCTCAAATTGGATGGTCGAAATACCCTAATACTGTATAATTAGTGCTGATATAATGATGAATTCGATTATGTCAGCAATGTAACCAAAAATATACTGTCACAAAAAGAGAAAATATGAGTTCAAATGCTTTGAATCATCGGTTATATGGTCAAGTGCAGCAGTCATTCCTCTTTGAGTCAAACTCGACCTTAAAAATTAAGAATTAGGGAGAGTTTCGAGTTGGGGGAACAAGCATCCTTTGAGCTTATTAGAGAGGAAATTAAAATGAATTGTACTTTTTTGTAATTGGTGATATTCTAGGCCTCATTAAATCGCTTCTTAAATGAGTTGATGCAGGATGCTGAGCGTATAGATGCAAGGAATCATTTGCTCAGCAATTAACCTCTCACTCCATTTCGAAACTCATAAAAAAATGTTTGCTCTTCTCTTTTCTGTGTCCAAAAAGTAATAGCCAAAAATGCCTATAGAATATGCGAGTCGCAGATGGGCTAAAATGGAAAGCCTTTGAGTCAGGGAGATTTTCTGTGAATCTTTTCTAAAAAAAAAAAAATTAGACAGAGACTCGAAACGAATTGACATAGAAGGGCGGTATTCGACTTAATTAGGGATGACGAGGTTCGAGTTATCAAGGTTCAACAGTAGCGTTTGTTGATCAATACACTCGTATACTGTATATGTAAAATTTGGCTACAGCATCAGAGAACTCGCCAGCAAGTATACATGCAGGACATTAATGCAGTTTCGTCATTGGTTTCAACTACAGTATACAGCTTGTTTACAAAAAAAAACTTACTGGAAAGAGAGATCAGAACAATCCCCCAGTTGATGCTCCAAATCCAACCGACGAGGAAAATCGGAGTGCCGAGAAGTTGAAGGATTCCTGCTCCGATATTGAGACTGAACTTCTCCTGCTTCGTCAATGGCGGCACGGGAGGTGCCTGTATAATCGGCGAGTCGTTGGTTTGCGCATTGTTCGTTGCCGATGATGTCATGGCTGCGCCCGTGGATGACAAGATTCGGACTTGTTCCGTGTCTCTGCTGCTCAATCTCGCGTAGGTTCCCGCGAAGATCGTACCTATGGGATCATCATCACAACGAGAGTTAAAATGTATGATTGCGCTGCCTCCGGGACGATGCACGAGCTACTGGCAGGCACAGGAACCGTTAGGTAAAATAGTATGGTGTGATACGGGCTCGGTTCATATCAGTTCCGCAATGATGAAGTGATGATGTACATGTCTTAGCTTGAAGATATTAAAAAGCTGTAGAAAAATCCTTTTCTTCGTGGAGAGCCGTGGCTTACATGCGCGTAAGCTACCTGCAGTTATATGTTAGTGACATCTACCACAAAAATTTCTAAACGAGCCGTTGATCCTTCAAGGCTTTGTGTGAAGAGTGTGTTCATATATATCATAAATTATAAAATACCTGTATACCAGCACGGGCTTAACACGAGATATTTATAAGTACAGATATACATAACCAATTGCAAAATGTTAATCTTATTTTTTTATATTTCGTTTTCAATTAGGAAAGCAAAATTGGAGAGACACGAAGGCATGGAATTCCTAAAATTTGGAAATGCAATACAGTACAATAATACTTGAGCAGGTGCTACCTCGCAATTGACCGTCCACAATTTGGCGGTCAAATTTGCAGGGAAGTTGACTTGCAATTTGACTCTCGCCCCGCAATGCGACCTGCTTTTCAATTTTCTTTTTTCACGTTTTCGTACTTATATTTTGAATTTGAATGAGTGTCTCACAATTCGTCCGATCCGCAATTCGCCCCTAGTTCGGCAACGGATAAGGGTCGAATTTCGATATGATTTCCTTGATGTTAGTACTGTACGTCTCAAAATTTAATATACCATTGACAGATATAATTATGGAGCCATCGGGTGATAAGTCAATTGTTGATAAATTTAACAGAGTCGTAAAAAATTGAGTAAATTATTTTACAGTATCTTGAAAGAGTCACAATAAAAGCATCGAGAACATGTTAGAATATATCCGAAAAACTCGCATATCAAAATGAAAAGTGCGTTATTCAAACGTTTGGAGTCGATTATCGTCGACAATTCGACATGTACCTCGTTACTGTACATCAAGGATGATAATTATCACAACAATCATCAATCACGAGGAAAATATCCCGGTATGAAGTGCTAAGTATCCCTCAAATTGCGAAGTTTCGCATTTGCTACATTGATTCAAACTTCACGGATTATTAGATAAATCACAAAAATTTGACCGCATTTCTCATCAGGATCACGTACCTACTTCATATATTCCTCAAAAAACACATGATATCATCCACATTTGGTCTCGGAGACGTCATTGCAAACATTGTCGAGAGAATGAAAAAGAGCCTATTGGGCAAAGAAAATCCATTTTTCATCAGCTACTATAAAAACAAATAATGTTCTGCAATTTTTTGGTGGAGTGCCTTTTCATCAGCGTTTGACTCACAAATCAATCTACTCGTATACTTTAGTGTAGCACGATATCGTATATTATTGTTGACGCCTTTCAAAAGAACACCTCATCAACATTAAAAAATAAGTGTCCTCATGAACCTCGCGTTCGTAAATTACCAATAACTTCGCATCAGTGAAATATACCGTATGTTCACATGCAGTATATACAATACATACCGAATCCAGGCAAAACGAAATTGATTATGCAGAAAATGATGGCAAGGGGCAACGGAAGCGCTGGCAAGGCTCTCTTGAACTTTCCGGGTCTTTCATGAATTTCAAGGATCTCCAATCTCTGTTCCGGTTCTCCTTCAGCTCCTTCGAGGATGATCTAAGAGAGAAAAAAAACGAATAAGGACGNGATACGGGCTCGGTTCATATCAGTTCCGCAATGATGAAGTGATGATGTACATGTCTTAGCTTGAAGATATTAAAAAGCTGTAGAAAAATCCTTTTCTTCGTGGAGAGCCGTGGCTTACATGCGCGTACGCTACCTGCAGTTATATGTTAGTGACATCTACTACAAAAATGTCCAAACCAGCCGTTGATCTTTCAAGGCTTTGTGTGAAGAGTGTGTTCATATACCGTATATCATAAATTATAAAATACCTGTATACCATTTAGCACGGGCTTAACACGAGATATTTATAAGTACAGTATACATAACCAATTGCAAAATGTTAATCTTATTTTTTTATATTTCGTTTTTAATTAGGAAAGCAAAATTGGAGAGACACGAAGGCATGGAATTCCTAAAATTTGGAAATGCAATACAATAATACTTGAGCAGGTGCTACCTCGCAATTCGACATTTCGACCGTCCACAATTTGGCGGTCAAATTTGCAGGGAAGTTGACTTGCAATTTGACTCTCGTCCCGCAATGCGACCTGCATTTCATTTTTCTTTTTTCACGTTTTCGTACTTATATTTTGAATTTGAATGAGTGTCTCACAATTCGTCCAATCCTCAATTCTCGACCCTAGTTCGGCAACGGATAAGGGTCGAATTTCGATATGATTTCCTTGATGTTAGTACTGTACGTCTCAAAATTTAACATACCATTGACAGATATAATTATGGAGCCATCGGGTGATAAGTCAATTGTTGATAAATTTAACAGAGTCATAAAAAAATTGAGTAAATTATTTTACAGTATCTTGAAAGAGTCACAATAAAAACATCGAGAACATGTTAGAATATATCCGAAAAACTCGCATATCAAAATGAAAAGTGCGCTATTCAAACGTTTGGAGTCGATTATCGTCGACAATTCGACATGTACCTCGTTACTGTACATCAAAGATGATAATTATCACAACAATCATCAATCACGAGGAAAATATCCCGGTATGAAGTGCTAAGTATCCCTCAAATTGCGAAGTTTCGCATTTGCTACATTGATTCAAACTTCACGGATTATTAGATAAATCACAAAAATTTGACCGCATTTCTCATCAGGATCACGTACCTACTTCATATATTCCTCAAAAAACACATGATATCATCCACATTTGGTCTCGGAGACGTCATTGCAAACATTGTCGAGAGAATGAAAAAGAGCCTATTGGGCAAAGAAAATCCATTTTTCATCAGCTACTATAAAAACAAATAATGTTCTGCAATTTTTTGGTGGAGTGCCTTTTCATCAGCGTTTGACTCACAAATCAATCTACTCGTATACTTTAGTGCAGCACGATATCGTATATTATTGTTGACGCCTTTCAAAAGAACACCTCATCAACATTAAAAAATAAGTGTCCTCATGAACCTCGCGTTCGTAAATTACCAATAACTTCGCATCAGTGAAATATACCGTATGTTCACATGCAGTATATACAATACATACCGAATCCAGGCAAAACGAAATTGATTATGCAGAAAATGATGGCAAGGGGCAACGGAAGCGCTGGCAAGGCTCTCTTGAACTTTCCGGGTCTTTCATGAATTTCAAGGATCTCCAATCTCTGTTCCGGTTCTCCTTCAGCTCCTTCGAGGATGATCTAAGAGAAAAAAAACGAATAAGGACGTTCCAGGGGATAAAAATCATTCTGCAGCATCAGTCAAATCCCGTCAAGACACCCCCTGATATACACCTTCAGCACTCTCGACAACCGCCAATTTATTTTTAAAAACAAATCTTCAATATAATGATGACATTGGAAACCCCTTTAAAACGCCGTCCGCCAAAACTTTCTGACAACTCAAGTACGCTCCTGCCAATCAATTTTGCCCCTGATATCCCAGAAAAAAATCAAGTTTTTGTGAAAGGTTTCAAACTAAAAACACACACACACCCACAATGATGACGGCAGCATTATTTGATTCATTGGAACAATATCTACATATACACATCCCAGGGTTATTTTGATTGTTTTCCAGAATAATACAGTAAAATGTTATTCCATACTATACGTGATTTTTATATCATTTGGATTTTTTTTTATAAACCACAACCAGCCCCTTTAAGCTGTCAGACCCGTTAAACTGCCACAAAAATCACGATGCACGAAAATTAGCGAGGACCGCCATTGTCCAGTATACAAACCATTTTTTGCCAAATTAAGAAGTTCATTTTGACCATTTCCTTCTTTTTCTCAATTCGATACTCGTAATCATTGCCCTTTTTATTCGGAAAATGTACAGTAATGTACTGCAAGAAAAGCTGCAATGAGAAAATTACCGGCAATAAAAAAAGAAAAAAAAACCCCTCTGCGCTCTCTTACTTTGAAAAAAAAAAAGTTATTCATTTAACAGAAGCTCGTTTCTACAATATTCAGACGATGCACTAATTTCTTCAGAACCAGCGGGAAATTCGCAGAAAAGAATTTTTTTCCGTGCGTGCTGTTTGGCATGCATATAACATCAGGGTTCGTTTCAGTATCGAACCAGCATGAGGTTCAGGGTCTCATTAATAGAATCCCTAATAGGCTTTCGTACGTAATTTTGCAGCCATGAAATGAATCCCTTGCACGTGATAATAAGAAGTCTTTTACGCTCCACAATGAATTTTCTTATAAGAATGGATTCATTAATGGGATTCATTAGCGTTGAACGTTGAATTCCAGGGAGGGATATTATAACCTGCACGCTTTTGTTCCAAAAACATTTCCAAGAACTACGATGCTGTAAATTTCGATCGAAGATAAGCACGGAAAAAAATTGTGTACAGTACTGAACATAGAAAGTACTGTACAGTTTTACAAATACTATACCGTAACGAAAAGGAAAATTATCGGAATATTATATGGAATTTTTTCTCCCTGTATTTTTGCAACAGCGGACAAACAGCAAGAAGAATAAATTTAAAAATTAAAATTCATGAGGTTTCCATAGTGAATAAAACTGATAAATGATGACACATGCAGGGTTCTGATGAGAAACAAAAGTTTTATTAAAATATGTTTTTCAAACTTTAAAACACGATGCCATTTATCATGTATACGGAGCAAAAAATTGCATGTGTTTAGGGCGTACATCAAATGCAATACGTATAAGACAGAATTTCTGAAAATTCAGCAGGCGGAGGAAGATTCTACTGGATCATATAATTCCCCATCACTTACGCATCGTTATTCCATATCATAATATGTATCATAGTTTCCCTCTACTTTTCCACCCTGATTGTTTGCCAAAATTCTTATGATGCTTATTGTGCTCCTCCGACTGATGCAGAAAATATTATTTACAGTACAGTGAAATATTTGCATGCTCTTCCATGAATTTGCGTTCATTTCCCTGATGCCGGGTATCGTATTCCCGTAAGGATCCTTCAGTAAATCCTCATGACATTTTCCGGATGTTTCGGCAAGTCTATTGACTCTTTTCTTTTTTCTTTTGCAGACCACTCAATACAGCACTCACATGTCGGTGCCAGAATATAAGAGGCTTACTATATATATATACTATTTGTTGTTTAGGTATCCAGCAGGTCTTGTTGGAATTGGACGACTCCTCATATACTCGCGATGAAAAATGGATGTTTCATCATTCTTTGAGTCATGTGTGGCTGGGTCCGATGCTTTCCGAAAATAAGGTAGGCATGTTTTTGTTGTTGTTTTACTTTACTAGAACTTCATGGAAAACAAATGGGTTGAGGAGGAAACATGTAGGGAATTCACCGACATGTAACAATAATTTATAGCGTGGACGAGCAAATGACGGACTGGTTTTTTGAAATTTTGTACTGTATTTGCTCAACGATTGAACGCATGCCATTTTGAAAGAATTCTCAATCGAAGCTCGTTTAATTTGTTTCATTGGAAATGTAGGGTAATAAGTGCTGGTTACGTGCGAAAAAATTCGGCAGAGACTAAAAAAATAAATCAAATTATTTTAATTTTTGCGGTTCCTCCAAAGTAAGGTCCAAATTTTTCGCAAATTTGGTCAACATTGCGATCTCATTGGGATTCTATATTTGTTTAATTGGGCTTATTCATTTGTTTCATAGGAAGTGTAGGTTAATAAGTGGTTACGTGTGAAAAATTCCGGCGGAGAGAATTATTTTCGTTTTTGATTTTTTTGTGGTTCCACTGATCAAGGTCCACTTTTTTTTAGCACTGTTGGTCAACATTACGATCTCATTCGGGATTCTATTTGCTTCATGACGTCAATGTGAGAGGCTTATTCACCCCGTGCTAGAAAGCAATAATAATCCCACACGAGTCAGACCTGCTGGTGTTGAATAATACGGAAAAGGCTTTGCGTCGACAAGATGAAATAACAGGTTGTGCAAAACAAAAAAAATCTCCATAGAACACGATAAACTCCTGGGATTATGCCACGGAATATAACTGATTTTCATTCGTGTAGACTTCGATTTTCTACGCATTTGCTAACTGCACAGAATTTTCACGCTGAACAAAGGAAAAAGAGCTTTCTATATAAAATTTTGAATAATGTGTTTTACTTCTGTCAGATTACAATGCAGTGCATGTTGGATTGCAAAAAAATTGAGATACGAATACGGAAGCTATTCTCTTGTACGTTCGCAAAATTAAACCGATTTGTTCATGGTACTTTCTTATAATAAGAAGCTAGTCTCAAACCATAGGCTTAAAAAAAAAGAAATTTATCGGAAAATTCTGGAATTGTCCTGAGAAGTTCAATAGCACAAATTGCTGCAGAAGAATTTCTAAATCGGGTAAATTTTTAAATTTCGTCAATGCATTTTGTATATTTTGTCTAGGAACAAGACCCCGGAAAACTGCTGTTCTACTCTACAATATACTCCTGTGCTCCAGAGCATCAAAGGATATTCTATGACAGTGTTCCCCAAACTTTTTGGCCTGCAGAACGGCAAATTTGCATAAATTTCTTCACGGACTAGCAAATTCCCAAAAAATGTTCTACAGATTGGCAAAGTTTCATAAAATTGCTGCCGACTTGAACCAGTTTTGCTTGAAATAAGTCTTCATGCGTGGGAAGTACAGTATTTAAAAGTTTCTACTTTCTGGCAAAAATTAAGTTACGCACCAACAAAGCATCTATAGCTGAATTTCATCACAAAATTAGAAAAGTGGGCTTGAAGAAAGGTTTCTCAGAAATAAAACTGAAAATGATTTAATCCAAGTGAGAATTTTCCTGAAGTGGAACCATATATGAGAAGAAATGCAAACTTTTATTTTCATGAAATATTTTTAACTGCCATTTTCTTTCCAAAATTAAAAATAAAAATAAAAAACGTTGTTGCTATACTTATGATAAATTCACAGTAATATACTGAAAATGTTCTGCGGACCGGCAAAAAATTTCTGCGAATGGTTTCGGAAACACTGTTCTATTACAAAATAAAATATCCACCGCGCAGCAGAAACACGCGTGATATTTTAGTGATGGACACGATGTTTTGTGTAAATTCGAATCATTCCTATGTAGTTGAATTTGAAATACTGTATCGTT